AGGTGCTAGTTTCAAATCCTTTTTAGTCTGAAATCTGTATGCTAGATATTGAATAAGGTGGTTTTATTGTTTTTTGTCACTTTGAATAATATTTCTGTTCATGTTAAAAACAAAATCAACTCTCTGTATAAATATATCAGGTGACCGTTAAGGCCCATGGGCCTCTTGTTTAAATGAGTTATTCTAGGGACGGGGGCCAGTTACCACTTATGGGTCACAAACTGTAATGACCTTTTCGATAAGCTGAAAAAAAGTTAACGAAAAAATGATAATAAGACATAGATGTCAGAATATGGAGAATTTGATGATCCTGATCAATATCTCAAGATATCAAGTAAAAATAAATGTTTATTAATAAGCATTGTTAATTTGAATGATATCAAATAAGTCATCAAAACTCAAGTCATTATAAGTTTTAGGGTAAGGGCAGAGAAAAAGGTAAAAGGTTAGTCAGATATATTTTATGGGCTATCAGCAAATTAGAAGGTCATCATAATCTCAAAGAGTCGGGAGCAAAGTTATTTAAAATGTGTTTATAAATACTGTATCTTCTCTGATAGACAGAACATCTGTGTTTCATCAAGTGATAGACTTCAGTTGTATAACAAAAAAACTGTTATTCCCTGAACAGAAACGGGGGCTGGTTCCCTGAAGCACTTACAGAATCTTTTTGGTTGATGAGAGTTTGTTAGAAACTGTAACTCTACCAGTTAGTATGTGACCTGAAACACCAATGAAACTATACTTACAAAGCTCGATCACAGCTGGAGTAAGAAACTGTAGGCATGTTTACCTGTCGGCCATGTGGTTTTTACATTCCATTTATCCTACAAGTCCCAGACTCATACACTGTGTTTGATAAAATGTCAATATTCTCTATTCTCCATTATGGTTCGGGTTGTAATTTTGTGAAACAGAAAAAAATGAGTTGTCTTGTGGTAGTCCTGTTCTAATAAAACTTGGAGAGCTATATGTTTGAAATTTGCTCAGTGCATGTCTGTACATGCCAAGTCTGTCTATCTGTTAATTGATCTATGTCTGTCTGTCCATGTGAAGTATGTTTGTTAATTGATCCATGTCTGTCTGTCTGTCTGTGCCAAATGTGTCTGTCTGTTAATTGATCTATGTCTGTCTGTCCATGCAAAGTCTAGATCTGTCTGTTAATTGATCCATGTCTGTCTGTCCGTGCCAAATGTGTCTGTCTGTTAATTGATCTATGTCTGTCTGTCCATGCAAAGTCTAGATCTGTCTGTTAATTGATCTATGTCTGTCTGTCAGTGCCAAATCTGTCTGTCTGTTAATTGATATATGCATGTCTGTCTGTCCATGCCAAGTCTGTCTGTCTGTTAATTGATCTATATCCATCTGTCTGTCCATGCAAAGTCTGTTGTGCAACTATGTATACCGGTAGGTGATTTTATCAAAATCAAAGCATTCCGATGGACTTCAGATTTTTTTGCAGGTAAATAAAAAATATGCGAAAGAAATATATTAAAACCTTTAAACGATTTCTTCTGAAAAACCAGGAGACCCAGAGTAAGAATACTTGGCCAGTAGGTACCTGGGACAGAGTGCTATACAGTTTCCCCAAATTAATTACCTTGAGCTACTTTCGCTATAACAGGGGTCAAATATGTGAATATCTTTAAACAACTTCTTCCGCAATACCAGGAGGCCCTGGGTGATGATATTTGACCAGTAGCGTGCTGGGATAGAGTAGTACAAAGTTTTATTTAGTCTGGAAAATTCTTAAGCCAAGAGGACTCAACATATTTGCAAACGTACTTTAATTGAGATTCAGAGAATATTTTCCCATGATTGCTCAAATAACCAGGTGAGTGATACAGGCCCTCTGGGCCTCTTGTTTAATATGTAATGTGATAGACTTATATGAAAACATTGGAACAGTTCCTGTTATCCTTACAGAAGCATTCTGTGTTTTTAATGGAACACTTATCCTTCAACACATAAGTGTACATGCACTTATAGCATTCAGAAATTTCTAACAAGAAATTTCGAAACATGTTTGGATGCTATAGGAACACAGAACATGTTACAAAGTGTAAAGTCTACTATATTTCGGGAATCATGTAATGTAAACAAGCTGTTTAGCTTGAGACAGAGTCTGACGAGTGATCTTCAAAGATGTGTATAATTATCTGATGTGTGATAAAAAATTGTTAGCAATGTTGGCTATGTAATAAAATCATGTACGTTCTAACCGCTTCCTGATAAAACTGTGGTATACATCTGAGGCACGGAGACGTTTGTAAGCTCTGGAACGATACAGATCTTTAGAAAGTTGTAGCGAAAAATTTGACATCTTATCTAGTCACCTGCTACCAGAAAATTTATTTTACTTGATAAAACAAGTTCTTGTTTTACGTGTGATAAGCCCAAAAAAGAGGTTAGAATGGACGCAACAAATATCTGTTATTCATAGCAGGAATAAATAACAAGCATTTAAATGAGGGCTGATAATTAAAGCTCAAATATGGTACGTTCTCTAGATCTTCTGCTTTATAATAGTTTTGTTTGTTTTAATATATTAAATGATTCTGCGATGTAAATGAAACCAAATATTCAAAATGAAAATATTTTATTTATCTTATATTACCATATCATGTATTACGTTTTGAAGAAAAAGATGGAAGAATATTTATCAAAATTTCCAAATTAAAAAAAAAAAAAAATGACATTTGTATTTCTAGAGTTATCTTCCGATGGATGACCTGCAGGAACATGCACACTTTGACCTTCAGAGATGTGCCCAATCCTGCCAAGGGTTCCCCCGAGGAGGTACTCCTGTCCTTCAAAAACAAAAAGGGCACATACGCCAGGATCTTCGAGACCATGTGTGGGTAAGGAACTGGTACTAGTTCACCTCTTCCTGGTAATTCGATATTGTTTTATTGTGAATCCCCCGGAATGCTTCAAATGTGTGTTCATTGATACCACTGACGACGCTCTTAGGGCTATAGCTGGTTTTGATGACACCATATGACTTCAGCAAAACTAAAGGAATAACATTTTCAAGATAATATCAGGAAGTTATTTTTAAAAAATTAGCTTTAAACCTGCCAAATTTAGAGTCGGTGTTAATGTAGCACAAAACTCAAGTGAGTACAGATTATTTCCACTGTTTCTGCATTTACAAAATATTTCATTGAAATTTGTCATTTGCTGGTAAATTTAAACTTCGAGTCCGTTTTCATTTTGAAAATATTCCCCATTCAATTGCAAACAGGAAAACCATGCAAGTTCCATGTTACAGTGTGTGGAAGTAGAATGTGACGATTGAGAAACAACCCTTTTAAAAAATCAGATATTAGATTTTTTCAACAAAGCACTTTTTTCTACTTTTTGTGACTTTTTTCTACTTTTTGTGACTTCAAAATTTTACTATAGAAGAATTCAAAAGGTTTGTTATGGGCCTGAGTTTAGAGATGATTTTGCACACTGCAGACATGTTACATGTTAAGTCCTTTTGTTATTGATTACCTCCCTTGTTTGTTACAGGTATGCAGGCCTGTACTGTGCTGTACTGACTGGGTACGCCAAGGGACTGGACTATCACCCTGGTGATAAGTTCAAGGGGGCGGAGTATAACCATAGCTGGAATGCTTGCTTCATAGATGGGAATTGGTACCTTGTTGATTCCCACTGGGCGACACGCTATCTCATCTCCGAGAGAAACATTCAAGAAAATTTGGTAAGTTTGCATACAACCCCATGGCCACCCAACCCCAAAAAAAGCCACCCAAATTTAAAAAAAAAAATAAAAAAAATAGATAGTCATGTAATTATTATTGGCTCATTCACCCCTGAAATTTCATAATGCACTATTCTAATATTTTCATTGGATGAGTTCAAATGTGTCTTCAGGAATGCATGAGTTAAATGCTACTTTACTTACGGTGAAATCCATCTCTTTTTCTATAGAGTTCTGCACTAAGTAAGATAACTCTTCTCACAAAGTCATCAGGAACCTGTATTCTTAGTCCACCTAGGAAACCCTTCCACATTATCTCCTTTTGATTTCCTTTAATTATGTGAAAAATTTGTATGAATCTTTAAACTTTAAAAGCAATCCTCAATTAAGGATTTTTTATACATAAGGAAGGTGATTCTATTCCATGAAATTGAAATCGTATGGTTTTCTTTACAGGTGTATGAATATGACGACTTTTACTTCATGACCGATCCAGAACAGCTGATCTACAGCCATTGGGCACAGCGGGAACGCTGGCAACTTCTATCCCAGAGCCTCACTCTGGCTCAGTTTGAGGACTTGCCTTTGGTAAAATCCTACTTCTTCAAGTGTGGCATGTTCTTCATCTCACATCAGAAGGGAGTTGTGCCGACACAGAATGGTAAAATCGCCATCACCTGTGGATTTGTAAAGCCGACAAATTTCACCTACAAAATCGTCATGGCTGAAAATGGAGATGAAATGTACAATGGTCAAAAGCTGAAGAATTATGCACTACAGGAAACCCAGAACAACCAGGCCACCTTTGTCCTTCGAGCACCCAAGTCTGGTAGTTTTTACCTCACAATCTTCGCACAGCTCCTGACAGGCGACATCGGGGTAAAGAATGTCTTCACTGCCTCAGCAGAATATAAGGTTATTGCTGACTCAGCAGCTCACGATGCCAGTCCTCTGCCTAACTGTTCAGACAGTAACTGGGGCCCGGGTGTACCCGTCAGTCAACTCGGCCTTATCCCTAGCCAGACAGATGCCGTCATATTGAGCTCTGATGGGGATGTTAACCTAAGCTTCAGAAAGACAAGACCGACCTACATTCTGTGCAAACTGCGCCATCCAGGTATGCGCGATGAAGATCTGGAAAGATGTATTTCGGAAACTGATTTGGGGGACGAGATCCAAGTTCAGGCCACTTTGCCAAGACGAGGTGAATATGGCCTGGAAATCTACGGGAATGACCCTGCGAAGGACGGCGACACCTACACACACATCTGTCAGTACTTTGTACACTACGCTCCACCAGAGGAACAAGCCACAGCGTTCTACCAGGAGGCCCCTCAAAGGCGTGTGGTCCCCAACGCACACCAGGCAACAATTTCCTTTGTCAACCCCAACCAGGTATGTTCGTTTTCATGATTATCTTTAATTTTGACATCATTGTCTGATTTCCCCGGGTTTCCAATTCAGTGTATTTCCAGGGTATTTTGTGATATGTTTGGCTATCAGTAAAGCTTTTTTAAAGATGTAATTTTTAAAACAGAAAGAAAGAAAATACGATATATTTACCGTGGTTATTTATAACTCTACCACATTCAGATTGCATTCATATTTGCTTTGAATGCCATGACATGATTTTTGTCATCATCACATACATGAAAACAATCCAAAAGAGAATATGAACTAAGTATTTTGAGATTATCATGTTCTGAAAATGTTATATATAAATATTGAAACTGCCAACTGAATGCGATACAGTGCAAAGTACAGGGAACTTGCACATAATTATAGTTGAACCCTTAATTATCAGTAAATAGTAGCTATACTAGCAGTACCGTATTGAAAGGACCCAATCTGTTATAAGCACACACACCTATACACCCTTTACCCTTTCTTGGTCTAAGTGTCCCATTCCGTCACTGTCACTAACTGGTTTACTTCCAAAAAAGTGTCTGTTAACACTCTATATTAAGAAGTTTGGAAGGGTCTGAAATGATTCTAGACTGTTTCTGAATTGTCAAGTGCCTGGGGCATTTACTTGGTCAAATACGGTATATTGTAATGAATTGTAAATACTGTAATGGTGATGATCTCATCCTCAAATAACCCTGGATGTTACAAGGACGTTAAACTGCAAAGAAACAAACATTTAATGCTGATAATGAAAAGATTATTCAGATAAGTCACTTCAGCTTCATTAAAAAGCTTTTTGACATCAGGTTGAGAAAAAATTCTGTTAATAAGTGAAAAACTTTGGTAATACTAATATTGATTTGTATGATATATTAAAGAGAAACATTAATTTCCAATAAAGTCATTTAAATATCAAAATTGATTTAAAATCATGGAGTTATTATGTTAATATATATTAAATCAGAGTTTAGATGTCGTGTAAGGGGAATTTAAGACATTGTGGGTTTGTTTGACAGGATTGGTGTATAGAAGATATTTACAACATCGAGTGTTTTATTGTGGGAGGCCCTACCCACTTTAATTTGTTGACACTAGATAAGCCTTACAAAGGAAATAATGGCCTCAGCCATCTCGGTCAACATTCTCAGACATTTAAGTCTGGTTGACTTCCACCACACACAATAAACGCCACAAAAATCACTTATCTTGTGATTTTATCATGATAAAAACTGTCAAAATAAAAAAAAAATGTTGCAGATTTTATATGAATGTGTTGTATATGGTAACAAAGTCATGGATATACACTATTTCTTTGTTCAATTACCTTAAAAGATAACAGAACTTTATATTTTTTGTCAGCGTAAGAGGATATACAAGTCCGATTGTAGGTTTTTTATGGTCAGTTTTGTTTGATCTACTTTACAGCTTGCCCAGAATGTGTCGGATATGAACATGGGTCAGAATGAGATTGACCTTGACAGTTTGCCTGCCCCACCACCCGAGTTTCTACTACAACAACAGTTCCTGTACGGCACCGTCCCCGACAGTCGTCAGCAGGGTAACTATCCCGGAATGTCCCAAACCCATGGTCAGGCCAAGCCTGGGGGTCAGGCTGCCTTCACCCCTGGTGCGGGCAATGTTATTCTACCCCCCACCCAGCAAAAGGCCGTCATCAACATTCCCCCCAGTCAGCCAATCATGGTAAGTATGATTTCATGATCGAGGAACAAAGGTTACATTTCAAAATTATGACCTTTTTGGATTCATAACGCACGAAAATTTAAAAAACGCCATTCAATCCATATATATTCACATTTTTGCTATAGAACAACTGATTAATTTATTTGTGTTCTTAAATCTTATTTACTGCTTTTTGTTTATGCATTGTCTTTTAAACGATTTTGGCGGAACAGACCTATTTGAATAAAATTGTCACTAATAATTAACCGTAGTCATTTGTGCGTTTGACGCAGGGGCACTCTCCATGTTATTTGAAGTGATGCAACAAGACTCTCATTGAACAAGGTTACTGTATGATGTCATAAGTAAACCATGTGTTACGTCACGAGAGCTTCTGCTTTCATACTCAAATGTAATGCAATTCTGCTGATATTGTTCATCTAGTGGGTTGCAGTGCAAATGTAAATATGTTTATATATATCTACTTCTGCTTCAGGTTGAGAAGCGTTCGGTTGGTCAGGAGCCACCTTCAGCACCTCAGGAGTTTAAACTGATCCCAGTCAAGTGTGAGACAGAGGAGGGGCCTCCTCCAGCCCCTGCAGCCAACGCCCAGAAGCCAAGTCTGGAGAACATTGATCGCCAGGTGTTACATACTGTTGACGACCACGCCATACAGGTAGGTCAGACAATACATGTCTTGACAAATTGTTACAGATGAAATGAGGTCTGAGTCTCAGTGTTAGTGTATTAACATATTTGTTTATTAATTGTTACAATTGAACAGCAAATATTAATACATCTACCATATTTATTCGGTAATAAGCCAACCTAGTTCAGAAGAAAAGCCAACAAATGTTATTTATTGTTCTGTAATAAGCCCACATCCCTTCCTCGAGTCGGAGATCATGTGTTGGCCACTAGGCTCTCACAGGGCGACAGATAAAGTCTGGCTGGAAAAGTTTCTGTGTAAAAAAGAAATTATATAAATATAAATTTACGACGGACAATATCTACACCATTTATACACACACTTAAGATCTTAAAGCTTTGTTTCTTTTTCTAAAAAAATCTTTATTCTGTTGTGATCCAGGTATCTAAGAGTGAACATCCAACATTTAGAGACCTTGTGTGGGATTTGATCTACTCCAAGAATATCACAAACGAGATAGAAAAAGTCAGGTAAGAAATCATAGTACATTACAGAATCTCAGAAAAGTCAGGTAGAGAACTTAAGCATATCCGAGTTGCTTGTTTATGAAATAAGGTCGAACGTAGTAATTTGATGCTGCTTTCAGACAAGCATTGACAAAGCCTTGCAAGGCCTGAATAAACATTTACAGGGCCGAAGGAATTTATACCCAAAAATGATACATTTAAAAGCAGACAAATCGGTTGAACTGGATATGCGAAAGGGGCCTTAGTGTATAATGAAAGTCTCGTCATAGCCCAGTTACCTATGTATTTGTACTTACTGAATAAATATATTCTTTACTGCATTCATATCAACGTGACAGCTGCAGAAATGTCATCGAAATACAATAAAAACACATGTTGTACTGCACCGAATTTTAAAAGAACTGCTTCTCATCTGATTCATCACTATGTTCTACAGAGTGATCTTCCGATGGCTAGCCACCAAGAACCTGAAGGAGATAGATTTTAACAATGTGGAGAAGGGAAGTCCGGAGGAGGTGTTGATGGGCCTCAAGACTGGAAAGACAACGTATGCCATGGTGTTTGATACGATGTGCTGGTGAGTCAGTCAGCTTTATAAAGCTATGCTTGCAAGATCATTAAAACAGCAATGTATCTGTGCGTCATGTGTTAAAGGGAAATAACTCTAACTTATATTACAGGTATGATGTGTAAGGTAACATATTCCCTTATTTGGTATTTTCTGATTGATTTTATCAGGTTTATTCTGTTTTTAATCATTTTCTGCTTTTGATGAGACGTAGGATTGTTTCTTGCAAAGTTTAAACACATTAAATAAGGCAGTGATGGAACATCTACAGAGACATTCAATAACACTTCATGTAGTTTCGATTTTGAACAGATCAATTTTTCCAAATCAGTTTGCATATAGTTATGTTCACAGAATATTAAAAATTTCAAAATTATATTATGTAGGATAAAACATTTCATAGCTTATATAGTAGTTGTTCCCTTATGGAGACAACAAATCAACTATATTTCCCATTGTGTTTTTCCAGTTATGCTGGTCTTCACTCCAAGATCATCAGCGGTTACGCCAAAGGAGCTGACTACCGCCCGGGACAGAAGTTTACGCCCGGCTCTAATCAGCATTCCTGGACGGCCGTCTACATCTATGGCACCTGGTGTTTACTCGATGCTCATTGGGCAGCGCGGCGTATCATTGGTAAACAGGCCCAGGTAGAAGAGTTCCACTACCAGCTTGACGAATATTTCTTCCTGCCTGACCCACATCAGCTAATCTACACTCACTTCCCTGATGATCCAAAATGGCAGTTGCTTGATAGGCCCGTCAGCCTGGAGGAATTTGAGAACATGCCACACATGAAACCGCAGTTCTTCAAATATGGCCTGGAATTTGTCAGTCACAGGACCGCCGTCATTTATGGCCGAGGAGAAATGAATGTGCGTCTGCGTTACCCAGCCCATAAGCTTATGGTGGCCTTCAACTTCACTATTCAATATGAAAATTCAGATGAGGAGTTTCAGGGTGTCAAGTTAAATAGATACGGCATGCACGAAAGCGTTGGTGGAATCGGATCATTCCGTCTTCGTCTACCAGAGAGAGGCTCGTATATTTTATACGTATATGCCAAGGAAGATACCCCAGAGAACACAGACAATGTTTATGCGCAAGTGTGTGAATACAAGATTGTGCAGGAGGATGTTGCATGTCCTCCTCCCCAGCCTTTCCCTCCCTGTGCCACCCTTCATTGGGGTCCTGGTTCTGCCTTCTTTAAATATGGTCTGGCCACGTATCAACAAACCGCAAACATCATCACAAGAGAGGGCAAGGTCGAGCTACAGATCCGTATCCCCAAACAAATGCAATTTATGGCCAAACTCAAGCACATCAGTTATGACGATGCTGAATTAGATTGTTATGTTATGCACAGAATTGTAGGTAATACGGCCCACATTACCTGCTCGGTCCCGTCACGTGGCGAGTACGGACTTGAAATTTATGGCAATGATCCGAGTATGGAAGGTAAAACACTCTTCCATCTTGCACAGTTTCTAGTAGAATGCCACGAGGATGTCAAAACTACGCCCCTCCCCAAACTACCACCTGGCTACCTGGGTGCCCAGATTAAATTCAGTGAGTTTGGACTAAACACCCTGAGCCATCACGATCCTGTCATCCACCTAGAGAGCAATTACATTGAGATCCAATTTGCACTTGCGAAGGAAATGCGTGTCACAGCTAACTTGATTAGCGTTGACAAGGAAACGGACTTCCCAGAATTTGTGTTCACCCAGACGCAGGGTTCTGTGATCAGCTTCATGGTCACCATCCCAACCACTGGTTTCTATAAGCTGCAACTGTACGCCATCCCTGCAGATGACCCGAGCCAGCAGCTGCCAGGCGTGTATAATTACCTCCTCAACTGTCAGGCTACTCCTAAGGCCGTTCATCCCTTCCCCAAACAGTATGCCCAGTGGAAAGAGGGTTGCTACATGTGGCAGCCAATACGCCTACATAAGGAAATGCTCGAGGGCCCAGATCGCTCCACTAAATTCCGTGTCTGCATTCCACGCGCTGAGGCAGCAGCTATGGTCGTGGATTCAGACTGGACACACCTGACCAGCAACCAGCCAGGAATATGGGAAGGAGATGTCAGTTTTAAGAATCATAGCATGAAAAGTTGCAAGGTCACTTTGAATGCAAATTACGGAGGTGACCGCACCAATTACGCTACGCTTTTAGAATACAACATTGATGTATAGACTCGCTTGTTCTACGCATAGGAACGTACAGGAAGGACATTATAGAAATCTACCTGATGCAGAAACATTCACACTCTGCTTGCTTGGTAATCTTCATCTGCCTTACTGTATCACATATTAAAACTTTCACGTGTCTAGGAACAAATTTCAGCTGTGACATCTAACAAAGACAGGAAGACCACCATAGTCGAGGTCAAGTGTTGTAAGAAGAGTTTGACTTAATTTAACAAGTTTTAAGTAGATTTCTACTTAACCTGAAAGATCTTTTAAACAACAAACAGGACATGCAAAGTGTGTGTAAAGGTGAAAAAAAGTCATATGAAAAAAACAAAATCAGTGTTAACAAAGACATTTAGAAATGGACTGACTACCAGGTACTTTCTTATAAGGATAAAAAATGGCAGTTTGTGAAAAAGTGCAAGAAGCTTGGTTAATACATATGCATGGATTCGACTGTAAAGGAGCAAAATTATGTTTAGTGTAATTGCAATTGTGACGAAATTACAAATTTGAAGATAAAGTATATTGAAGTGTCATTCATCAGCCAATGAACAACCGTAGTGAACTTTCGAATGTAATCTGTACATGTACTGTGAAGGTAAATTTCCATCTACAGAAAAATATCATTGGTCACAAAAAATTGTTTTGGTGCTTTTTTGCTTTTAAACAAACGTTTGAAAATAATTAGGTGAACATTTCATTGATTGTTCTGAGAATTTTCAAATTTTCAAATTTTTAATTGTCTTCAAACAGTTAAACTGACCACTCCAACTTGTGTTAACATTTTAGATATTTGTGGTTTCTCATCAATTTAATGTTGACACTGGTTGTCGATGACATCTGATGAATTCAATCCTTTTTTATAAAATACCTTTTTTTCCATTGTCAGAAAAAATGGATTTTGGTTTGTATTTACTTTATCTAAAACCACATACAAAAAAATCTTCCTAATTTCTATCTTAATATTAATTTGTACACAAAAACCAGAAAAAAAGGGTTGTTAAATTTTTAATGCAAAATCATTATTGACAATATATTTTCAAAGAAAATAACTATTTGATGGACTTCTGGACCATTTAAGTTTTGTTTGTAGAAGTTTCAGTTTGAATGTGATGAATCTTGTGTATTTGACTCCTGCCATTAATCTCGTTCTAGTGTACAATTACACCAAGTGCTCAGAAGACAAATAGCTATACATATTTATGTACTTGTATTTTGTACTCGATAAATGTTGGTCGATGGCTAAAATCTTGGCATTATAGCTCAAACATTGTTTTTTTTTTATTATTTTATTATCTCAATAATTTACTCCATAATAAAAAGAAAATCATAAAATTGAAACAAATTGGTTTCTATTGTTATTAATGACAACTGCAGTGTAATCTACCTACATACTTAACCAGTAGGTAATATAAGTTCTATAATATTTGCACAAAGGATCAGGGTGTCATATTTGGCCAATTATAGTCCCTTCCTAATAAGAAAACTCCCAGAAGGTATATCTATACATATGTATGACTACCAGTGTATCTCCCAATGGGTTAAACAGATTTTTTTTTCAAATATAGCAATTTATGTTTGTCTGACCCAGCGGTGTCATTACGCAAAAATAAATACTTTTCGATAAGGGGCCGTAAAAACGACCAAATATGGCACCCATCCTTTGTGACCTAATAACTGTAGTGGGGGCAATTCGGAAAATAAGAATATTTGTGGAACCTCCCAAAAGGAAAGTTTCCTCTTGTATTGGAGTCAAATGATTTGTTAGTATAATTATGCTTGCTCATATGATTTACTTTTTATATTGTTTGTTTATGTTTTGTAGAATGCTTTTAGGTTAATGATATTGTAGAAATCAGGATGTGAAATTGCTGATCCTTTACTACATTGCATACTTGCCAACTCTCCCTATTTAGGAAGGAGGCTCCCGATTTTGGACCCTAAAATTTAGTATTTACAATCAGTGAATTTGCCAAACAGTTCCTATATTCTAAGAGCTATTGATTTCATCTGAGAGAACAACACAAATAATGTCATTTTCGAGGGTTATTTTGTCTCACAGGGGTGTATACCGTACACACCTCTATTTATGAATGCAGAATCTCCCCCATGGGAATTTTAAAAAATTGGCAAGTATGCATTTTAATGGTAAAAATATATATTCTCTGGAAAAATATCATGTAAACAACCATTTATGACTCTGATGTTGTTTGATTACAGATGTAATTGAAAAGAAGGTCACACAGGTTTCCCAGAAAAGTTGTATTGTTTTTATTATTTTTTTACAATATTTGTGCAATTCTCTGAACACTCCAGTTTATGCATTTAAATTACTTTGCTAAAATGTAACGTACGGCTTTCCTTCTGATTCCTGAAACATGGGGAATATTATTGGTCGTAAATGCCAATTTGGAAGTATGAAAATTTGAGAAACTCAATTAACATCAGTACTGCAGTTAGTACTTTAAATTGTTTAAATCAAAGCCTGACGCATTCTTCAGGACCAATTTCCTTTAAAATACTATTTTAAATCGTGGCTGTTGAATATAATACGATTGAATATGTTAATTTGTCTATTTCATCTTTCTTTCCCATTACAGTGACACAAACCTTTCTTACTCCGTCTTGTTTTCTATCCTGTCAAAGTTGTTTTGGAGTTAATGAAGCAATCATATTTATAGGTGTATGGTTTCTGTCAAGTACAGGAAACGCTGGGTGAATATTTATGGACGTCCATTACTATTGTTCTAACACTTTGTGCCTCTTTGTATTATTCATTATACATTTAATAATTTTATTAAAATTACTTTTAAGAAATTTTATTACATATTGACAACTTGTGCTGTCACTCTCTGAAGCCAGAAGTTGTATCGTCGCGTCTTCGTGCTGAAAAATACAATGCATGAAAATGGTTTCATGAAAAAAAGTGGAATAGTTAAAGACTTGTTTATAGCTGTTTTGACTTTGAACATATTTTCTTTATTTATGTATAACTTTTCCACTGTACGTGTTGTACTGTCTCTGCTTTCTGCCATCACACGATACGTACCACTTTCTAGTTTATATGTGACTGTCGGCTGGTAAAGCTAGGTTTCTCGGAAAGCCGAAAATCAATAATGTTAATGTAGAATCTGTTTGTTATAAATTAACTATCATGTATTTCACAATTCTGGCTCAATGTTCATTTCATTGCTCTTAGTTTAACACATCTAACCCCAGATGACTTTATATTCTAAAAAGGGGGGTAACTCTTACCTTGTTTTTGTTCGATGGTATGACTTTTAACACCAAATGCATAACAAACACACACTAGTTTGCCTTTATATTATATTATATATTCATGTTAGATATTGTTCAAATTCAATTTTTATGCTTTTTACTTATAGTTGTTACACAATGTAGATTATAAATAAAGCTGTGCTTCTAATATATACTTGTTGAAAATGTGTTATGATTTTAAACAGGTACCTTTACTGTCAAAGTGGAAATTAACACAGTGTGGAAATATTCATGCTTTTCAAGTCAAATAATCAGTGCGAAAATGCCCACATAGGAATATGAAGACGCAAATTATAGAATATATAATTTTCCGAACCACTACCAATGGAAAATAAATCACATCACGATTCCGCTTCATTAGTCACAACGCGAACATTTCCAAATGTGAGATTTTCCGCTTTTACAGTATGGCATAATAATCTATTGCAAATTGTTTGTCTTCGAATGTTATTTTGAAACTGTCAAAGAGAATTTCTTGAAATATCACAAACATACGTATGATTGAAACATCACAGACATACGTATGATTGAAACATCACAAACATACATATGATTGAAACATCACAAACATACATGTTTGTGCTCTAGTCCTTTTAACAGCTATGGTCATTTAAGGGCGTGCCAGGTTTAGGTGGTTAAGGAAAGCTGGAGGGCCTGTAGAGAAACCAGTGACCTGTGGTCAGTAACTGGCAACTTCCCCATGTAGGCCTAGAATCTGCAACCCAGTGGTGGACGACTCTGTAGTGATCCAGACAGATGCCTTAACCACTTCGCAACTGCGGCCCCACAAACAATGTCACCACGGTGTGTTGCATACTGTTAACAAAAAAAATCTACCAAGGCTGAAACTCACAATTAAGTCACACAATTATCATTCAGTCCCCTCTGTCTAGAATGGGCATCTCCAATATCTCCAATCTGGGTTTTGTGTATTGAATTACACTACTAGTTTCTGACTATCACAAAAGTATAACAAGTAGGCTTTCTACAATACAGAACTCCCTGTTAACTGACCAAATTATGTGGTTTACGCAGAGGACACTGGATTATTCGTAACCCTATTATTACTGTTCACAATGCAATTACTAATGTGACAAAATATTTTTACTAGAACTGTAGTCTGATGTTTAGCAGAGCAACATGTTAACACTTCGTAGCCAGACCTCCCCTTTCATTTGGTGAATCCCAGTACCACTGCAAAAAACTATGAATTGTTAACTTTACTTTAACGACATGACAATAGCTTTGAATTATTATTTTTTAAACAGAAACGAATACCTTCTATGAATTGTTATGAAAAAATAACGGAGATGAAATAAACAGTAAGTGCTACATGGCAGACTAAGATTGGAACCCTGGATCCCTGATCACAATGCAGTCTCTATAACTAACTGATCTACCTAATCTGTGTCTCAGTTCCTAGCTGGCCCAGTCCTTAATACTTAAAGTTATGTCCAAGCACTGAAATTAAGGGGAGGTCACTGTATCCATGAATTAGCCTTCAAGAATAGGACAGGCATCCTTAAGATGGATGAAGATGGCCTCCTGGATCCTCCACTGTAATACACGCACAATGTTCTAGTAAAGCACTTCCAGCTTATCAATGGTGATGGTTTAACCTGGTCACCCAGTTTGGATATGTTTGGTGACCTTCTGGAAAAAGATCGCTGTCGATTGTCTCGTCCTGCCATCTCTTATGATACACAAATATAATCTATCACCTGTAAATTAGCGAGATCGGATTATCTTAGCCATGGACTATGATTATATGACATTATTCCAACCGAGGAGAAATAAAGATCATTGAAATTGATAAAGGCATAATTAAGCCTTGGTTAGGATGTTACGAAATCCTAACCCAAGACTGAGATTAATAAAATATATTACCTGTATTTGAGCGAGATTGGGTTATCTCAGTTTAGGGTTAAGATTCTGTAACAAAATCCTAACCGAGGCATAAGCTGAGGTTGGGATGTTACAGAATCTTAGCCTGAGACTCGGATAACCCGATCTTGATACAGTTACAGGTAATTGATATTTTTTCTCGCACCTTTTAGTTCGAAAAAAAAGTATTAGATTTTGCTAAAAACTACAAGTATCCCGTCTGGGGCCTCAAATGATAATGACCTCTTCACTACTTAAGCTGCATTTGAATGCTTCGGCGTAAAAAATGTAGTCCATCCTTACAAAGAAAACAACGTATTTCACAGTGTAGATTATATTTTATCTACAACATCAAATATCCAACAACATCAAAACTATACATATAACGACAAAACAGAACATTTATAATGCAGATTGTGAATTTCAAGCAGTTAACAAGCGAATGAGTACATTGCAGTGTAAAAATTCCGCAAAATGTCACAGAAAGGTACAAGACAGATCAGGCGAGATAGAAAAATCTATCATGGTGTATGATGTGGGATATCTGTCAGAGGTACGAGAAAACCTGATCTCGCTCAGTTACAGCTATTTGATTTTTTTTTCTCGCACCTTTTAGTTAGGGAAATTATTCAATATTACTTGAGTCTAACTATCCTGTCTCGGACCATAAAAAAATATGGCCTCTTCACTGCTAAAGCTATATTTGAAGGCTTAATAATAATAATAATTTGAGGTTCTTATATACCGCTTTATCACAACCTAGTTAGTAGGTCGTCTCAAAGCGGTTCACAAATTATTATCCATGGTTATAGGGCCTTTGCAACCAGCCAATATCTTTCTCAACTCCCTGGGGGAGTATGCAGCTGGTGCTGCCATTTCGGCGCTCACAGCTAGCATTCTGCAATTCTAGCATTACCCAACCACGTACTCATATACAGATGAGTAGACTGGAACAAGCGGAGTAAAGCATCTTGCTCAAAGGCTTCCTCATAAACAATGTAGTTCGTCCTTACAAAGAAGAAACTTAATGTGCAGTGTATTTCATAGTGCAGATTATATTTTATTTACAGCATTAGAAATCTAACAACATCAAAACAATACATATAACGACCAAAAAGAATATTCATAATGCAGATTGTCAATTTCGAGGGTTTGAGCAGATGAATACATTGCTATGTGAAAAATCAGCAAAATGTCACAGAAAGGTGCCAGACAGATCGGACGAGATAGAACAATCTAGCACAGAGTATTATGTTAGATATCCCTGTCTGAGTTGCAAGAATGAGCAAGTCAGGTCTTTCTCTGATGGCTTGTCTTTCAACATTATGATTATTTTCCTAGTTTGAAAGGTCACAAGACCTACTGTCTGAATTTGTATTTCTCTTATTTTTTTATCAAGGTTTTACGTCCTTGCAGAGGATCATTTAAAGAGTGAATAGGGCTAGTCAGTTCACCCACAAAATATTTTATCAATTTTGATGATATATACCTTATTGTGATCCCTGTCTTAAGGTGACTTGTCCAGCCTTGCATGTTAAAAGTATATAGTGTGATTTGATATTAAACATCGGTGTGCCGATCAAGGGACTCCACATTTTGTAGATTTTGGGAGAGGATCCGGAATTACTTACAATTCTTAGCTTGCTTTTCCAATCCACTGAAATATTAAATGTATCTGTGTATTGGATTATTAAATAAAAGATTTGGTTTTTTCAGAGACATATATACTACTGGCTTTATACGTCTCTGGTTTTTCAAAGACTAATAGAATCTTTCACCCCCTTGGGAGTGAGACAGGGTAATCTCAACCCGAGGGGTAAGATTCTTAAGTTGTCAAATACGAGGCAAGCCTCGTGTTTGACAGCTCAAGAATCTTACCCCGAGGGTCATGGTATTTTCGTGACGTCTTGGTATTGTTGCTATGACGTCATACAATTGTTGAGAAAGTGCAAAGAACACATGTAGCTTGTCTCAACCCTAGGGTGAGATAAGAAAATCTCACACCGGTAAAATGGTGGATTATCCCTGTCCAGGGTAAGAGAAATTCAAATCCTAGTCCATCACAGTAAATTAATTAAGGTATTTTATCCTATTTTAAAAGATTCCTGAAATAGTAGAAAAAAAATTGATTCTGCATTATTATTTTATACAGAGTATTTATTTTGAAATGCCCAACTCTCAAGGTTTGATATACTTTTATAAACCGGTGACAAATGGATAAATTTTGAAACGGACTATAACGGTAAAATTCCTGATATATAAGTCCGGTTATAGTTGAAGTTTAGAAATCTTACCGAAACTTCCGGTTTGTTTGTGCAATAGCTGTTTTTGTGTGTATTTTAAAGAAAAATGCTGAAACCGACACTTATAGCGTGCATCCTGGCGCATATGCAGTTTCATGAATGCAAACTTCAACCAGTCATGTTTTAATGGCCGTTTGGGGTACTACATTTCTGTTCACTCTCTAGAAACAAAAGAATAACTCGTAGACAAACTGAACCAACATGGATCAGAATCCCGAGAGCGAATGCCTTGACTTGAAACTATGTACCGAAATGGAGAAGCTCGCAGATCAGTTGACAGAATCGGGTAAACCGGTACTGAATGCTGATGTGATGAAGTCGTTCAAGAAAATATGCCGGTACAACAGCAGTTTTGGTGTCGAATAAACTGTTTTCTTTCAATAGTTCTTTGAATGAACGTCCAATTAACATATTTTTTAAAAAGAGTTGTTTATATCGTATTAGAGATTGTGTGGGGGGTCAAGTGAAAGTTATGTTCACGATTCCTTTTTCAGACATGAATATTGTTCGTATTTGCTGCTTGACCATGTAGATTTTCTCTGGGTACTCCAGCATCCCCCCGTCCCCCCTACACACACATTAATACCTCCTATACACTTTTATCAATGCTAGCAAGAGTGACATATTAAGTGGGGGAAAAAATCAATAATTGTTATAAAATATGGACATATGTATACACACAAATTGGATGCTCCACGTACCTTCTGCAACTATCTTGACCATGTTGCCCTTATCACTAATTGGGATCAAAGTATAAAATATAGGTGTTCGATTGGCAAATGCACTCTGAACCAGTTGAGCTGAAGTTAAGCGGTGCATATTGTGACTAAAAGTTGTTAATCCTTGCTACATTTAGCTATAGGAATGGACCTGGTTTTAGTGGTATATATACTACAGAATATATGGGTAACTTGTGCTACAATCATTTTGACCAATGCTATCGGTGTTTATACAATATTTTGCATATGACAATATATTCATCTATGTTATGAACATGTATTTGGTCATTCTTGTGTGTGTGGAAAATATCTTGGGCAAGATCAATTTCCAAACCTAGGACACTCTATACTCTGGATCAAAAGTATCTGTCTTTATAATTATAATTACCTGCCATTTTTCTGGGGCCTTTCCCTCCACTTTTAGCATTTTCCCAAGCCTTTGCATGATTTGCCTCAATTATGAAAATACAAAATTTACAACATAAACATAAAATGTAATTTATCCATTAACATGTGTCAAGTAATTTATTAACAAGTTGAAACTTTTCCTTTTAGGATATCAGATTTGTATGTGAAGCATGCATTTCATATGTTGATTACGAAACTAGAAGAGGACCATTCCGAGGTTCGGCTGTCTGCCTTCCAAATGGTGGATGAGTTATTTAACCGATCACATGCCTTCAGGGAACTTCTAGTGTCTGAGTTCCAGCGCTTTTTAGAATTAACAGTCGGTAAGTCATTATATTTAGTTACTATATATATATATATATATATTTAGATTTAATTCTTTCCTGCAAATTAAACAAATAATTCATCTGAAGACCACACATCAATTTTTGGGATACAAAATTTTGCATCCTGAATGCACCACCGTTCATCTGGACGCAGTCGTTATTCCATGCGTCCTCAGACCTGTTCTGTTCGCAGGACGTGGTAGTATAGCTACTATAAGTCACGCTGAAAACAGATTTGATTCTTTAACTATAGATTTTTTCAGAGTTCAAATAAATTGTATACTTTTGGATTGTAGGGATGTGTTACAAATATCAAACAACTATAATTATTACAGAAGTCATGATGCTAAGAATTCAAACTTCTTAATATATAATGATTCTGTTAAATTTATTATACAATTCAATTTCTTGTGCATGTACATTTATGACATATTTAAAATAAATCTTTAAATATAAACTTCTATTTGAGTTGCAGTTGAAAACTAGATAAGTTATTTCTTTAACATTTGATTGTATGAAGATCGATAATGCTAAGGACATATCTTTATTATATATACATAGTATGTATTTCATCTTTCGAGTATGCGCGGAAGCATTTATCGTGAACCTATGTCTTTTCTGTTTACAACTGTTGCACATGCAGACATTGGTTATTATGCAATTTTTCCATATTTGAATTACAGAGGTAGATTTTGAGCAGCCTCTTCCTCCCCCCAAGGCTGCAGCAGATGCCCTGCGGACTAACTCACTCAAGGCCATACAACAGTGGCAAGAGAAGTATGGAGAAGCCTACAAAAAACTCAAGCTTGGTTTCAACTACCTTTCCACATGCAAACATGTAAGACTCTGGTGTAAAAGATTGTTCATGTGGATCGATCAGTGTTTTGCTCTTCCTCAGTCTATTCCGTCTTTGCGTATTGCAGAGTTATCTTCTCTTGTGAGCAGGTATTGATTGTTACGTCATTTGTTTGTGAGAGTAACATCATCAATTTTTGAGAAAACTATGTAATTTTCTCACACAAACCAATGACGTAACAATCAATCCCTGTTCACATGAGAAGATAACTCTGCAATACGCAAAGACGGAATAGTCCTAGGGGATATCACACTTACGTTTAAGCTTTAGTGCAATTTTCTCTTGGGACTGAGGATGTGTATCGTTATGCCTCAGTAATTCCAGTTAAAAAAAAAATCTTAGAAAATATTATTAACCCTTTGAGTGCTAGTCACAACTATAGTTGCGCTGTATGTATGTGGCCACCACTGCTAGTCACAACTATAGTTGCACATTCTATAAAATGGTATTTTATATGGTCAACAGCTAATCGTATTGTTTAAAGTTTAATCAAACACATCAAATAACCAATTTCCATTGGTATTAATATGTTTATTATAAGTATTATTTTTGCAATATTTTTACTAAAATTGTGACTTGTGAAGTTATATCTAAATTTGAACTGCAGTGAAAATTAAATTTTCCTAATTAATTCAGCACTGATTGGTTACCATATGCTATTCTAATGTAGCACTCTAAGGGTTAACAATTTACTAACATATTCTCTCTATATATTTTCAAGACTGAATATTTTACATATATATAGAATTCAATCCACACTCCAATTTTTGTGTAACAGGTGAATTTTGACAATATAAGAGCCAGAACACTGGCTGAACAGCAGCGACAGAGGGAGGATGAAGTGAAAAAGAAACGGATTGCTACGGAAAGAATAAAGAAAACTTTGTGTGAAATAGAAGGTAAAAACTAGATTCAATACCCCACTAGTTTGGTTTAAAAAGGTGTTTTAATTTCCGTCATTGAGGGTTTTATTTTTTTATATCTTGAAAACAAGTTAAAAGTTTTTAATCCACCCAATAATGAATATGTTCTTAATTATTAAACAAATGTACTCCAAGCCCAAATATATATATATATATATAAACCCATTTTCAGGTCAGTAGCATATACATGACAAATTTGAGAAATTCTCAAGATCTGATATGGATCATCAGTGGTGTGCTATTCCACAAGTCCTACATTCAAGGCTAGAAGGGTTTATGTCAGGGCTAGGGAAAATTTCAATATTCACAATGAAAATATAGGCTGGGCTAGTAGAACTCTTCAAAATGTGCCTGTGGGCTTGTACTGTAAATATAGAATTCTACACTCCTGACTGTACAACTTAAGGGTGCCTGAACTGTACCAAAAACTAAACAAAGTTTTGGAAACTATTGTTTTCGGCATGACTATAGCTTTGATAAATGATTTCTGAAAAGAAGACCATATCTTGTTGGATTATTATGAAAAAATAATGAAGATGAAATAAACAAAATATAATAATAATACAAGTGTTTTGAATGGAAAGATTTCGTGGAAGATTCTAACCCCGGACTTCATTCAGTTATACTGTTGCTCTAAACGCCTGAGCTACTAGTCAACGGAAGTGTCTGGGCCCATTTGTGCTGCAGTTATATCCAAATGGATGTTAATGGGATGTTCCTGTATATACGAACAAATATTATTCATTGGGACAGGGATCACAAAACCAGTAAAATTACATTGTAACATCACAGTACCCAAAATCACGAAACAGGTGTAGCTGTACCCAAATCGGGACACCCCTACCAGTTTTGGCTTATATAAATATTTGGAGATGAAAAAAGTATTTAGCAGAACAATGCATATTATTGGAATATTTTAGAGTCAACGGTCGTTCTGAATGAATTTCTTTTCCAAACTATCATTAGTTGTGAAATAGTACATGTAGGAATATGAAAAAACACATACAAAAATTGAGAATCAAATAAGGTTGCATGGCGCATCAATTTAGAACGTTACATTTTCGTCATAATTTACAAACTAAAACTGTGATATTAACCGTAAGTGGCGGTAAATAAAGTTTGTATAATGTTTTATTGGTATATTAGCATCTTTAAATCAATATTTTCAATTTAAAAATACTTCTTTGCTTATAGCATGCAAATTACTTCTGACTTTTCCTTCAAGTGTCCCGATGTGGGTACCGTCCCGATTTGGGTACTGTCCCCATTTGGGTACTGCAACGTTACTGTAATTTTTTTTTTTATCAACATCAAGGCACACAGTCTTTTTTTTTTAAATTATGGAATACATGTAAATGCATAATTAGTAATTGCTGAAAAAAACTTCTTGAAATTAGCAACAGATGAGTTTATAAGGTATGTATTAAAAACAGTTTTGTATTTTTTTCAGATATGGGAGGAGACATACAAAACAGTCTAAAGGAAGTACACACCTGTTTTGATCTGCTCCTACCATCACCAGAAAACTTCTTTATCAAATCCCAGGATGATAAAATGCAGGGAGGTCAGACAAGCTGTGTCTCAAACACAAAACACTCAGAAAATTTAGTAACGGATTCAGACTTCAAAAAAAGTGCAGACTTGTTCAATGGAAGTGAAATTTCTGGTGTTAGAAGTGGCAATGAAAATACTGTAGATCAGTCAAACTCTGTGTTAGATACAAAATCGGATTCAACTAGTCAAACAGTTCATGTTTTGAAAAAGACGAATTGTGAACCTTCTACCTCTAGTTCAGAAAGTTTAAAGGGAGATAATTCATCTGTTAAGGGAGATAACTCAGTGACAGAGAATTGTATGAACAATGCTGAAAACTGTAGTGAAAATGATGTTGTAATTTCAAAAGCAAATGATGATAGCGACAATTTGAGAAATGGAAGTAAAAGCCAAAATGAACAAAATTTGAATGATTCGGAAGAAGATGACAATGATGAAGAGGAGGAAAGTGACGAAGAGAGTGATATGGATAGTGTAGACGAAGAAGATTTTGTCCAGCAACATGGATTAGGCACACACCAGTATAACATCACTATTGATCTAAATCAAGGACCTGTATCACTACAGGAAACAGAGGATAACCAAGCAGTCCTTACTACGCTAAAGGATTTGTACAGAGTCCTTATGTCCAAGTATTTCCCTACAGTCCAACACTGGCTACAGGTAAAGAACTTAGGATACAAGCAATGTTCATCATGAAGCAAAGTGTAATGTGTGAAGGGATATTTCAGTATCTACCTATAATTAACATAATTATTGTCTGTCTGAATTATTTTTCTCCGCTTATAACATTTCCTATGGTTTCTGTGAAACAGAAGCACTCATGTGTATTTTGAATGAATGAACAGCACTAAGCATACCTATAAATTGCAGGAGTGTACAATTCTACCAGCCCAACGCTTTTTGTCTCGGCTATAGAACATATTTGCTGTTTTGTTTACTATGAAAATGTAGCTTGGGGCCGTAGAAGTTTCAAAATTTGCCTGTAGGCTAGCACAAGAAAACTAGAATTGTCACACCCCTGAAATTGCCATTGATGACGGGTAAAAAAGCTATGTATGTATAATTCGCTGCACTGGTACATGTACTACTAAATATATGTAGGCAAATTCCAACTCTTATTTATTTGAAGTAAAACAGAGAAAATGTGATTGGATAAATTGTTCCTCTCTGCCTAATACAATTATGAAGGAAATTGATCATTTTAATTTTCAGGATATTTTTTAACCATGTTTGATCGTATTATATTTACCTTTTTTAACAGGTTCTCTCTAAATATGGAGCCAAACAAGACGAAATTAAACAAGTCATCGACCTGAAGGCAGAGATTGAGAAAACCAAGAAAAAGTTTCACGAGTTGAACATCATCCCAGACGAAAAACTTAATAAGGATAATGATTCAGGTACCAACACTTTTATAATTTTACAGTATCTTTCACATGAAAATATACCGGGCACAAGTGCACACAATGTTATTTACATGATATCAATATTGTTGGTACATTAATTCAGTTTTAGAAGTTTTCACTGTCTTTGTAAATTAATTTGTATATTTCCAATGCCTTAAATTATAAAAGTACCCTCAGTACGGTACTTGACTAACTCTTTATACATCTTAGACAGAATTGTTTTTTCTAAAATGCATTTTAAATGATAAATCTTGATCAATCAATTTTAGATGAGAGCGAAGAAGATTTTGAAGAAGTTCCCGAGAAGGAAGGATACGAACCTCACGTTCCAGCTCACCTCCGTGCTGAGTATGGTACGGAACAGAAGCAATCGTTACAATGAATAAAATATCTTATGGCTACTAGTATCTAATGAAAGGTATATACCTGGTATACACTGTATATATACACACGATGTATCAATAGGAGAAAAAAATAATATTTTGACAGACTTCAAAACTCGCAGCTTTCACCCTTCACAGAGATTTCAGGTTATATATCCTCGATCTGACTTGAGAAATTATTTTCAGTTATTTGAAAAATATTAATTAGAAACTATCTAAAAAATCTTTCCATCTGGAGTTACCAGATTTGGTATGTACATGTATGCATCTTTGGATGGCGACATATCATTTACCAAAATTAGGTCACTGTAACCTACATTTTGACCTCTGACACATATCCTTGACAATGGTTGTACATGGAGTTACAAAATTTGGTATGCCTGACATACAGATCACAGTGTCGCTTTCCAAAACTAGGTCACTGTGATTCAATGTACCATGTATGTGTACGTAGTAAAAATTTGTTATGTACAGTATTTAAAAAAGGCTTAGATTTTGTTTTTTTATCTTTTAACCTGTTGTGTGTACATTTATTGCCCTGTTAGTTGGAATATATGATTCTTTGTTTCATAAGGGCAATAAATATATCATATAATCCAAAATAAAATAATAACGCAATAGTATTGAGTATCAGGCTTACACTCCATTATTGTCGTCTGATTTAGTCTCCCTAAACTCATTTTGCTCTCTCAAGTAGAGAGGCCCAGAATGAGGTAGCTATGACAAGAAAAACATGATGTTTAAATTTATAATCATGTGACCAAAACTATCTTGTTAGAAATGATGATGACAGAATACAACTTTGTGTATAACAGGGTTACAGCCCCTGCCAAGCTCAAGTACAGCAGGCCCAAGTCAGCTAGGGATAGCTCATCTGAAGATGCCCCCTGTCAAAGTAGTCAAGCCTTCACCAGTGAAAAGTCAGATTTCGCCAGGAAAGAAACCAACGCCTCACTACTGGGACATCAACTGTCGCCTAGAGGAGGACAGCGCCGATGATCCTGCCTCACTCAAGGCCAACCTGACCCGCCTGGGGAAGGAAGTCAGTAAACCAGGCCCAAGGTTAGGACATAACAATGGTTTAAGTGATTCAGATGAACCTGGAGCCAGTGATATAGGGGATAAATTGTCCCTTTTCTGTACGAAATTGCTTAGTTATCCAACTGTCTCATAATTTGGCTCATTTTATTGTAAATCCATCCAGCCAAATGAAAACCCAGATGGTTTTTAAAGTAAAAAAAAAAATAAAAAAAATATAGAACAAATCTTCTTCTAAGTCCCAATATTTCGGCCTCCTGGCCTTCTTCAAAGGGTGAAAGTCAACAATTGTTTCAAGTAACATCCCTTTTGTTTCTATGGAGGTAGAGGAAATGATGTACAAAGGTATGACACCACAATGACTCTTTGACTCTATGACGTCATAAAAGCACACAGTCAGAAACACAAAACATCAATGCCAATATTTTCCAATGCAGACCGAAGCTCCAGCATGAATTATTGTTGCAATCTGAGACTACATGAGTATTACTTCATGATGTTGTGTTAGAATTATCTCCCCTGTCACACTTGGTGCAGAAACTGTTTTTGCATATAGATCAGCTCTGTGTTTGAGTCACTGAAAATTCTGTATAATGTAACAAATAATGTATAAGGCATAGAACAATAGGACAGTATTGGAACTATTCTGCCTGCTTGAAAAGTTACACAGACCAAAGCAATATGGGATCCACTTGAAATACAGTGCTATCATGAACCTCCTGTGTGATTCATATAAAAACTGCAATTTCTATAAATTGTAAGATGTATCTTAATCTTTATTGATTTTTGTTTTGATCATAAAATGAAGCTCTTCATCTTCGACTCGTGGGAAGAAAAGGAAACAATCTAGTTCTTCTAGTGCTGCTGAAAATTCCAGAAAAGAGAAACTGTTAGAAAAAGCACCTTTGATCTCGTATGGCGTGGACTTGGAGCATTGGGAAGACCCAGAAAATATTGCCATGCCTATGGTAGAAAAGTAAGTGGTATTTTGAAATGGGAATTTTAGAACATTTGACGTCAACTTGACACCTAGACAAGTGATAATTTTACCAAGGCGTCCCGTTTAAAGGTATGACAGAAGTTGAGATTAAAGCACTACCCTGCATTCTAGACCTCGCTCATGGCTGAACATGTAAGGGCTGGATATGAATTTTTTTCAGAACCTGCTTTCAACCTCATTTCTTTACTACTGAAAGGAACTCTGTCAGCAAGTCTGTCAATAGGTCACTTTGTAGAGGTCATTTCATGTATATCCTGTCACTTAAAATTGTCATCTTTTTGATGCTTGTACTTCCTGGATTGGCAGAGTGTTGTATACACTTGCATACTGAAATCAGGGCCGCTTTCGTTTCTTGCATTCCAAACGATTGGAGAGTTGTTCATTTATAAAATAGGGACAGCCTTAGTGATTTGATGTTGCTCCCTGGTGAGGCTTGGCAAAGATTTTCAAGGCCTGCATTAACATTAGGAAGTTTATCAGGCTTCGTCCCTAAAATGTCACTTTTGAAAATAGGCTGCAAAAGCAAACAGGCCTCAGGCCTTGTACCTTGCAAACAAGAGTAATGACCCTTTTATTCATTTTTGAGACTCACGTTTGTCTGCAAGAATGGGATCATAGATTGCTTACAATACTTTTCTGTGTTCTATGTTGGTTTGAAAGACATTTGTACTGTAAACCACCTACATATAATTTTTCGATATCATAGTTCACAAAGTGATCTGATCACAAATTCTAGTATCTGGCAAACATTTATATGCACATCTCAGTTTTGCATGAAAAGGTCTGTTGAACACTTTACAAAGCCCATATGTTCAAGGTATGTCAATTTTTCAGGTATGACTCCCTGCACAGATTCTGGACACCGTCAGAAGAGGCTAGTGATGTTCCAGAAAAGGTTTGTAACAGAACAAAAATGCAGACTATTTCAAGAACAAAATCTAAATATTGTTATAATTATTCTTGTCCAGAAACCAAAAACTGTTATTTTTATTTGCAAAATCGTGATCTTGGCTGAAAAATGGGATGGACTAGCAACAAATTGGTATATGTATCAACATGTAGATTGCTCAAGCCTAAATATTTTGACAGTTGGTTCAAGAATCAAATGCAGTTGCAGAAATAATACCTGAAAGGAAAGGAACTTAACAATTAAAATTTCTATTCCACTTAGGGCTGTTCCAAAATGAATCAAATGGGAGGGGTAGGGGGCAGTTTTATGAGATCCTACAACTCATAAAATATTAAAACTATTTTTTTTATATCAGGAATGACAAGTAGCACTTTATTGAACTCCACCACTTATAGTAAATGTTCATTAATAGAATCTTCCCCTACCTTGAGGGTGTGACAGATACATTTCCAACCTGAGAGGTGATGTATTTTTGGTTGTCTAACCCGAGGCTCTGCCGAGGGTTAGACAACCAAACAAATTACCCTGAGGACTGGAGATTTCTCTGTTACACCCTCAAGGTAGGGGATGATTATTTTTCTCCCATCCTATTATTTCAGTCACAACTCCACCGACAGTAGTCTGCCATATTTGTAAACAAAAACACATGTTGGGTATGCATATTGTCATTAACTTTTGATGACGTCACAATTACCGATGACGCAATTTAATGGCGTCACAATTGAACATGTGCTAATCGGCACGAGGCTATTTTCCCCTAGGGGTTGACAAGCTGATCTCTCCTGGCTAAAACGGGAGACACATCTGTGAAAGGTGGGAGAAATATGTGTCTCCCACCTCCAACATATGTTTAATTTTGAATAGCCCTTATCTTGTGGACTTCAATTCAGAACTCACTTCTTATTGCATTTATGTTGCTGAGTTGTCCAAAGAAATCACATGATAAAATCAGAATCACATGATAAAATCTGAAATAACATGATAAAATCAGCTTTGAAACAAAAACCTCTGTACATTACTACTGAAAATCTGTATCATCAAGGAAATGCTCAAGGAAAACTGGAATTTGGATGAGAAACAATTGATCTAAATATTTAAAGACTTTTCAGAGATTTTCTGGAACAAGAGTTGTAAAATGAAGTAAAGTTTTTGCTAAAATCCAAGTCCACAAATTAACTGGAATAGACACTTTCATATCTCCTATTAACAAATTTTATGATTTTGAGCAAATAACACAGGTAATTAAATATAGAGTGAAACCTGTTCAATATGACACCCATACAAGAGATTTCTATAAAAACATGGTATTATAGCTGTATGTCAGATTTTACAATATCACCTGGTCAGATAAGACAGGTTTCACTACAAAGCTAAATATTACTTCGTTGGAGAGTTGAGGTGACCTTAACAAATTTTTTCCAGATGGACAGAGTGTTTAATACGCATGTGTCTGAATTTTTCTGCCATAGGATATGATAACATAAAGAACAACATGGTACATGTATTTGAGATGTCATGAGTCTGAAATGTCGAGATTATAATAATTTTAAAGGAAATTTACGATTTATTTTCATTCTTAAATGCATGTCTCATACAGAAATGATTAAGATATATATTTTTGTGTTGTTTTTATTGTACGGAGAAATAATATCCGTAAGTTAGAGACTTCATTGTGTACCGTTCTCTGTAGGAGGGAAGGGCTGCGATGACCAAGCGTAACATGACCTACACAGGGAATTTTGAGCCTGTCCAATGGCATTGCCGTGCTGCGCTGCCGAACGGTAAACTCTGTGAGAGGATGGACAGATTCAAGGTATCATTCAGTTAATCTGTCTTTGCATTGTCTACTGTTGGCTAAATATAAGTTATCATTCAGTTAATCTGTCTTTGCATTGTCTACTGTTGGCTAAATATAAATTCATGACATCAAATTGTTGATAATTCCAAAATAATCTTGATCTTGTATGCTCAAATCTGTAATAACAGACCACATGGGAAGTCCAAAAACTGGTCTCTTAATGAGGCTCAACTCATAAAGAAATCACTATGATTGGTAACATTAAAGGGGCTGTATATTGTCACATAGCAGTCTTAAGATTGATTGGATACTAAACATGTAGATCTCCTAACGAAGATTTACGTTGTTGATAAAGCCAACGTCCAGTGTGGACAGTTTTATTTTTTGGGTAAGCCGGTGATAAATATAACTATGACCGAAATAGCTTAATATCTTGGCCTTTCAGTGAGAAGTAGGTATCAATCAATTGTAAGTTCATGTGCAGTTGAACCTCTCCGTAAAACAATTGTCAGGACAATGAAATATCTTTGAGATAACTGGGGTGTACACTGCCTGTTATGTAATTCTAAAATACAATATTTTAATTTTGTAATCATCGTGTTGATAGTTGTTGAAATATACAAACTTCTATGGTTTCTTTCTTATTCTTTATTATAGTGCCCCTTTCATGGGAAGGTCATTCCACGAGATGACCTTGGAAATCCCACCGATCCAGAGGACATTGCTAGACTGGCCAGTAATGAGCCGGATGTTATAGGTCAGTATTGTCATCTCAAGGTCAAAGATGTCAAAGGTCAATACTAGTGCCAAGGTCATAATTGTCAGAGGTCAATATTAGTGCCAAGGTCATAATTGTCAGAGGTCAATATTAGTGCCAAGGTCATAGGTGTCAGAGGTCAATATTAGTGCCAATGTCTGGTTTCAGAGGCGAGTACCAGTATTCATCATAAAGAAATAAATGTCAATGATCATTACTACATCATTTGCGAATTCACAACATATCTTTGACTAACATGTGTATAGTAGAGTGATACCTGTCTAATCTGACACTCTGTGAAACACAACATCAAGGTCAAACTAGACAGGATGTTGAAACAGTTATATTTGGTAGTTTAGGATTATAGCACTATGTTGTCAGAATGCTCAGGGGTTAGATAAGACAGGCTTTCACTGTACATGGTACATAATCAAATTCAACTTACACACCGTAAATTTTTACAAAGTCCAGGCGCAAACAAAATCTTATGAAACCCAAACCATGTAATTTAAATTGATACATGTAATTTCTAAATTTTTAGAATTCAAAATGAAGTATCTGCAGTGGAATGAAATTGAAACTGTTTATTAAGAATACAGTTTATGTAATTAAAGAACTGCTTTTGTCACCTAGATGAGGTACCTCCTTGGCAGGACGCAGAACTCCAGGCAGACATTGAGGCAGCCACTGGCATTGACCTTGGATCTTTGAGGTCAAAGGGCAAAGGCAAAGGAAAGGGTAAAGGTAAAGGTAAAGGCAAAGGTAAAGGAAAGCAGCCAAAACACCCGAACCTAACCAACATAAAGGAGTCGACAAACACTGCTCGTAACAGGCTCGAGGCGAAGATATTTAAACCGTAAGTAATGCACATCTTTTCACTGCACCTAAAGCTTTACTAAGTTATTAGTCCCCCGGGGAGGGGGGACTGTAGGTTTGCACTACGTCCATCCTTCCATCTGTCATTCCGTCCATCCTTCCATCAGATAAGTTTGTCCGGGATATATCTTTTATACCGTTTCATCTAGAGTAACCAAATTTGGTGTACACAGACATCTTGGGATTGCGGAGTGCAGAGTGCAAGAATTATGTCACTGTGACCTACGACTTGACCTTCGACCTTCACTTTTGTAAATGTTTGTCTGGGGGATATCTTCTATATAATTTTTCACCTTGGTGATGGCGGAGTGCAAGAAGTATGTATCAGGATACTTTCCTAACAGTAGGTACATCCTGACATAAGTGTACTGTTTGTTAAATATAGAAATCTTTACCGGTGGTAGACAATACTTTGCCTTGTTTTCAGTTGGTTTCATCTCAAATTTGCTCCCTTTATTTTTTTAACTTGGCAGATCCTTACTAATCTAAAACTTCTAACAGTTTTTCATAAGTGTCACATCAAATGGAAACTGTTGTAAGATCTTATTTGAATATACAATTTGGATTTATGATAAATACACTGTATAAGCATATTCATTGAATACCTTCTACTATACAAGAATCTTTCTCCTACGGCGAGGGTCTGAAGAGAAATCTCAACCTTCTTGGGGGTATCCCATTCTGGCAATGATATGTTTGAAAACAATGCTTATGAGCAATTGTAATAAGTGTCTTTATTATACCCCTGTAACAAAGTTAGGGGGGAGGGGGTATACTGGAATCACCCTGTCTGTCTGGATGTCTGTCGTCCGCAGTAACTTGTCCCAAAAGCTCCATCCTAACTAACAGGCAGATTTTATTGAAACTTTACTTGAATGATCGGTATATTATGTAGTTGTGCACTGGCATTTTAATTTTAGTTTTCAAACACTTTTTATGTAAGTTGACACCAAGGTCAATGTAACTAAATGATGTATAAACTACCAGCGTCTGCGGGGGGTATTAGTTATCCTCCAGATGACAGACCTAGTTCGGATTTGACACATGACCTTTTTCATAGAGAGCTGATTGTGCTATCATAGTTTCTGTGATGTCATGTTTCTCTGTCATAGTTTCTGTGATGTCATAGTTTCTGTGATGTCATAGTTTCTGTGATGTCATAGTTTCTGTGCTGTCATAGTTTCTCTGTGCTGTCATAGTTTCTGTGATGTCATTGTTTATTTGTCTGTGCTATCTGTCTAATTCATTGTAAGATAAATGTATCAAAAGCTTTAAAAGTCAATCATCTTTTTATTTACAGGTCTGCATTAAAGCGAGTTGCCGCAGCTCAAAATGAAATTGCATTCAAAAAAGTTCGGGACAAGTTTGGTAACCAGTTTAACTATGCCCTCAAGTGAAGATACAGGTTTGGTGCCAAGCTGAGGATCAGTCTCTTATATAACAGTAAAATCATGATGTCAAATGACAATCAACATACAGTTATTCACAGTAAAATACCAAGACTTTGGTTCGGTTGGTTGGGAACGCAAACAATTCCACATGTGTTCAAATTTCCACTTTTACAATACTGTGACCTTTCATCTACATAAGTTATAAACACTTGTTGTGGATGATGCAAACCAGAGGATGAAATACTTTTTCCTTATCATGTAATGTACTCATTGTAAACATTAGCAATGTACAATTTCCTGTAGAATGTGATATTGAGATGCAATAACCTAGAGAGAGAATAATGAATTATGTAATTCATATACGCACAAATTAATTAAATATGAATATCATTGTCCACAGGAATTTGATGATATATCACTATTATATATTATAATAATAATCCAGGTGAAAAATATGCTATAATGACCTAAGTAGCTGTATACATGTAGTATAGAAAAGTATAATACATGTATACTATAGTATAGTGTAATACAGTTAGGGGGTATTTTTTCATCTGGACTATTATAACATTATTGATTGCTTATTTCTGTATTGGCCTAGTTATAAGTCCAATGCCTGCTGTAATGCTGTCTATAGTATAACTTATTTTATTTTGAATGCAGAAAAATAACAGAGTATTAGTGAATGAGTTTGACCATTTTTATATTTATATATTAGAGTATGTATGCTCAAAGACGGGTATTTACAGTACATGTATATTTATGAGCAATAATAAAAGGACACGGGTGTTAAAGATTTCATGTTGATCTACTTTACAATCGTATGTGTTATTTATTCAGTTGTATTCAGCGAACAGTAAAACCTGTCTATTTGACACTGATGTGTGTTAGACAGATTTTAAAGGATTTTTTACTTCTGTCCTTTGATTAACACAATTGTCAGATTTTGTCAGACACTTGTGTCAAGAACTTTGTATACACCGGCCTTCCGTGGTGCGATCCGTCTGTCCATTTGTCCATCTGTCAAAATTTGGCTTGAATTGTCTGCAGCTTCTTGACTAAAGTTTAAAGTATTTACCAAAATTCCATGAAACTTTACATGTTCCTAACATCAATCTGTTGAGCCCAATCAAAAGTCAAGGTCATACTTCAAGGTCAAGGTCACAAGTCCAGGAACTTTACATAATAATGAGGAAACAGTATATTTGGCTTGTCTGCAATTCCCCGAGTAATATTTTCACACAAATTCATTCAAGTAATCCTAACATCAATCTCTGGAGACCAGTTGAAAGTCAAGGTCATGCATTGAAGGTCAAGATCATAGCTACAGAATCTTTACATTATGATGAGAAATTAGATATTTGGGTTGTCTGCTGGCTTTTGACAAGATTTCTTGCAACTTTTATAAAATATCATGGTAGTATTTCTCAAAACCAGTTGAAGGTCAAGGTCACAGCTGCAGAATTTTCAAGAAAATTTCCTGAAACTTTACACCATTACTCCTGACCTCTATCTCTCAGGTCCAGGCCAGCCAGATGTCTAAGATTACGGTCACAGCTTCAGAATCTTTGCATGATGACATGATTGTTTTTATCCAATTTCGCACTACTTGTTTGTACATACACTTGGAAGCTCAACGTCCAGCACTTGCATGAGATTTAGTGGATGTGTACACTTATCATCACTCTGGCTCCCAGGATGATGTTGGCAGGCATAGTATGTGTATGGTACTATTGTTTTGTATTGAGATACATGTTGGTTTATGTACAATGTAAACCATTTGTACATTATGTAGGCAGCAAGATGACGAGTCGTATGTTTGAATCCCCAGTTTTGGTTTGAAGAAATATTCAATTCAAATATATTTAAACAGTAGGTTTAATAAGAAAAAAAAAAATGGTTTTTCTTTCAAACAATATAATTTTCTTCAAATTTTGTTATCTATATCTTCATTGTTCTAGTTATTTTACCTGTATATATTTGTCAATTTAAAAAAAAAATTGTAATCACCAAAAAATGAAGTGAATGTAAAATTTGGACAGAGATAAACGGCATGCATACAATTAATTCTGTCATATTTAAGAGTGAATGCAAAAGTTCTATTGAAATATGAAAACTTTCATAATTTTCCTTTACAGGTTATTTATATAGTATTTAAACAGTATGAGAGATTATTCAAACCCAGCAAGAAGTTTATATTTGTATTGATGAATAAAAAATGAAAGAGAAGACATTTTATGTTTTATTTATGATTAAGTACTTGACTGTTGCAGGGATTTGTAATGAAACTTGATAGCCCAACATTTCAAATTAGTTCTAGGAGAAAAATAAAAACTATAATTTACAAAAATGTGGAAAATCATGCTGGAAAAATGGCAAGGTTAAATAGTTTTGACAATAATGAGAACTTTAAAATATTTTCAAAAAGAGACAATTCAGAATCATTTACAAACTTGTAAATGAATTGTCATTAGTTTGCTAGTGCCTTAATTAGGTCAAATTAAACATGTCTTTGTATTAAAAGTTTTATTTCTATAAGAAATGATCAGATCTAGATTTGTTAGCACTCTGTGCTTTCACTTAGCAGTCATGTGACAGATCTTTTTGTGTTACAGGCATTATTAAAGCTCATACATTCACCCGTTGTCAGTATAATGTGACCGGGCAGAATGCTGTGCTTGGTCCTTTCGGTATGGCATTTCAGTGAGATAGCACTATAAAGACGGCATCAGATCCCCGCTATCACAAGGAGGCAAGCACACCAACAAAGCCTGTCTACTGCATACACACACACAAGCACGCATACACTACACAGATGTAGCCACGTCCTTAAATAACCTTAGCTGTTAATAGGACGTTAAACAAAATTAAACCAAACTAGACCAAACCAAAAGATCTCACAAAGGTAGTGTCTCAATCAGGTCATTATTTTGACCCTTATATTATTTCACAACACTACTAGATACAAGATCTAAGTATGAAGTTCACAGATTGGAACACAAGCCATCTGTGAATATTTCAAGGTTTTTTTAATTTGTTCCCTGTACATTTTTACATAAATAATTTCATAACAAATTTAAATAATACAACATACAAAAAATTAAGATAAGGAAATTTGACAAGAGTCATCAATTTCTTGTATCACAGTTCATAGTAACATGGACGGAACCCAGCCTGCATACAAGCAATGCACTGGAAAAATAATTCAGTAATGATTTTCTCCAGATTTTGCATCATTTAACCTGTACAATATCCACAAAAGTAGCATCACAGACCTATATAGATTGTATTTAGATCAAGGATTTCACATCCCATAGAAATAACTATATTCCTTCATAGAAAAATGCTGCACCCTTTTATAACCATATAATGTAGACACTGTGTCAATTCATTTCTTTAATTCTTTAGGTACATTGCTGTTTCAGGTGACAGTGTAATAAATACACACAGATTATCACAAAACTGAGTGAACTTTTCACAGGGAAGATAACTAAAATTTCCTGAGTCACTGAATATCACTTGGACCAAGGACAGAGATTAGGGTGTTTTCTGATGTGTCTTCAACATTCATTCATAGTTTATGAAATTATTGTGCAAATCATTTTCACAATTCTCCACAAGGTTTTGAAGTTAGGTTTTATCTTTTCTTCAAATGCTTATTTTGTGAAGAAAATTGAACTTGTTTAAGTGTCTATGATCTGGCCAGCATCGACATTGATGATTGTACTGTTCACTTCTTGCGAGGAGTAGCCTCTTTTTTAGCAGGTTCCTCTTCTCCTTCCTCGGGCTCCGGGAGAGGAGGTGGGGTAATGTGAGGGAATTTGAATTTCTCTTGAGAGGCCAGTCTGCTTGACATTTCAAGCATACCCTCAATCTGCAGAAGTCTGTTGAGCTGAGCCGTCCTCTCCCCACGTACTGGAGCACCGACCTTCAAGAACCGAGCCTTTATCCCTACAGCCTGTGTAAAAAGAAAACAGTATGTCAACCAAAAATCGAACGAAATCTTTATTTCTAATTATCATTATTCCACCAAAATTTGTACCTACTAGTATGGGAAATCAGTTGGCTAAAGATTAATGATGGCGATGATCGAAAAATCCTTTAATCATCATTTACGCAGATCTAGAGAGGCCGAAAACAGATTCATCAACGCATAGATTGAGACTTTAATCAATATACTTACAAAATCAGCCAGGAATGTGTCTGTACTTTCTCCGTTACAAGAGGACACAATGACTTGGTTGTCAGCATCTGTGGATTAATCAGAAGTATTATAAATAAACAGTTGTTCATGTATTGTTTTTATCTAAATTTCTGAATGTGTATTGAATGTGAGTTTGTTTAAAATTAAATTGACCCTAACTGACCTGATTATCTATCACTTGAACACTGTGACTATTTTGTACAGGGAAAGGCTAATTCATCTCCTGAGACATTGATTGGCTGGTGGCATAAATCAATTAGCAGTGGCTGGAAGAATGATTTAAATAATTATCAGATATCTAATTTAGGAGCTGTTATTACATTTTGTTTCTTTACCTCATTCACCCCTGAAATTTTATAATGAACTATTCCAACCTCTGAATTGGAAGAGTTCAAATGTGTTTTCAGGTGAATGAGGTAAGACTGAATTCAAATGAAGAAGTTTGTTCTGTCCCAAGTGCCCCTTCCCTACAAAGGTCATGCTAAGGTCATACGAAGGTCATGCTAAGAGATGAGAACTTTTACTGGTTTGTACCTTGGAGGTTTTTGGCCACCTGAACGGTGTCTGTAATAGTGTTGAGACGGTCAAGCTTGAGGGCAATGCCACTGGTCACAAAGTCCGGTGTCAGTTCCTCGTCCTTCAGCAACCCTGGTCGGGCATAGGCATGACCGCCCACTACAAAGCACTGGTCACTGATCCGGTCACTCAACCGCATCCAGTGTTCCTTCTCCTAAAGAGACAACGATAACAGATATTTTAAGTTTTTACGATATTTTCTCTGAAATCAAATTTTGAAAGAAACACTTTCTAATGAATTCATTGAATTTGATATAACTAAAAGGGGAAACTTGTTTCTTTTGTTTTTTAAGGGCTTATGATACCTAACATATTATTACTGTCATTAAGTGTAAGAGTTATCTCCCTTACAAATCAGAGTTATCTCTTTTGGTTATCTTTTCAATGGTTTGTTTTAAAGTTTATACTTGTCTGCTTCCTTACTTATCATCACTGTGATTATATTTTGTGATAGAGTTAGTGATGTACATTTTTGTGAATAAAAGTACAATATATTAAATAACTATTTATATATAGTTAAATGCAGGACATACTGCACATGCTGGGGAAAATGCAAATTTAATGATCCTTCTAAACAAGAACAAAAATGTCAGGTAGTGACATTAAAGGAGCATTTAATGTTATTTAGGTTAAATATATGTAATCTACAGTATTTAAAATCTGAATTACAATTCGAAAAATAAAAAAATAAAATCCCAGAAAAGAATTGAATGTAACATACATCCTTAAGTCAACCTTAATAATGACTCAATACGATGTCTATACAACTTCAAATAGAACTTCCACCTACTTGTCTTCTGAGGGGGTCGATGACAGCAATGACTGATGGATAACGGCCCAGAAGTTCTGCCCAAAATTCCACAACGTCATCTGCAACTTTTGCTTGACCTGTTAGAATTTCATATTTACCTTTTTCCTGAAACAGAGTTAAACATTCAATTACCACATGTGAGAACTTTATCAAACACCAGATACAAATCTTACAAGAAGTGTAGAACATGCATGAGAAATTACTGTTACATTAACTTTCATTATAGAAGCACCTTTTTATATTTTCTGTCAGTTTGAATTCTGAATTGCTTACTTTCACCTGTAATCGTTATGATACTATATTATAATTTTGGTAAAAATTTGGCACATAATTATTGTATTTAGCACAGGTGCTTGAATGCATTTGTTCCCTTCAAGAAATATACAGATAAAAAGTCCATGTCTTGATCAAAGGGATCTACATTAATAGTAATGGTTTTGCATCAGTCCAAAATTAATTTTTCTTTTCTTTTTCTGTTTTTGACAGGGGGGAGGGTGGGGATTAATTAAAACATCTGTGCTCTGTTTTAATATGTTACACTATGCACTGCTCATTACAATTAGGTCAGGTTTACTTGTCTACATTGCAACCTGAATTATCAGGATTTTTTTTATCCTAAACCCTCAGTAATAGACCTATATTCTGATGGCCATCTTTAACCACAGCTAAGCCCACAGTTACTGTATAGGCCTCTCTGTAACAATTTTTATCATTACAATGTAAACAAAATCCCTATAATAAGAATTTGTATTTTCTCAACAAAAATTCAAACCCTTCTTGATATTGCTAGATTATATAAGGAAATAAAAATTCTTCTTTTTGAAAACATGTGTACACGAATAGTTGAGAAATAAATATATGAATACAAATGTAGTGAATATTTTTGTTGCATATAATTTATTCAAATTTCTGTAAACTGATTTTTTTTTCCTAGCAGATTTTTGTGTGGTTATTGAATGCTCCTACTTAAGTCTGGTATGCAGCCAAATATTCATGTCAAAAATTTCAAAATAACAATTAACCTCATTTATAAACTATAATCAGAAGATTTAAGAACTGCAACAGTCATATTATGTTTCAACTTCATAAACGTCTACTACACAAGGCAGATTATATAGTGTTTAAACAATATAAATTCTGTGGTTAAATAAACCTATATACAAAATATCATATCCATCCCGTGTGCCGTAAATATAAGCTGGACATTTAACACTGAAAATTAAACAATTGAAAATCTGCTTGAATCAAAAAGTGAAGAAGTGGAAAAACATGAACAAGCAACAGTTTATAATGTAAATGTAACAAATTTAAAAGTAACAGTGAATGAAAATTTGTGTAATACCTGTATAACAATATTATTATTTGTTAATATATAATAAAATAACAATAAAACAAGTACAACACAAATATATCAACAACAACAACACACCTTCACAGATTGGTCAAGATCCTGTAAAATCAAACACCTCACTCATGCATTATAGATAACTCAATAAGCTGAATATGTGCCAGCTTATTTATATCAATTATTGAAATGTAGAAGCATTAGTTTTACATATGAATAATGTTAAACTTATTTCAACCACACATAAGTTGTAAAACACAAAACATGATCATACATGCATATGCTAAGCAGTCAAAAATTGTCAAATCAGATAAACAGGATCTTACATGAGTTTCCATTTCATACGAGATTTATGAAACGAGTCTAAGAATTTTTCAATTTAGCCAGCCTCTGGCGAGCTAAAATGAAAAATTTGTGACAAGAAGTCATCACTGGATAACATAGTACATCATGTGATGAATGTTCTTCTATTGTCCATAAATGTTTCCTTTTCAAAAGAAGTTTTGTCACAACTTTACAGCTATCAATATGATTATTTACACATTCGACTGATTTCGACGTTGTGTACTCATTACTGTAATATTATCATTATTTAGTGATTACAGACAAACTGATAGAACTCTGACACACTTTGTGATCAGTATGTGATCTCACGCAGCAAAATCCAAATATGTACCCAGTAAAATATCGGACATCTTAGTTTTGATGTTTCTACATTTAAGTTAAATGAAACATTGGTTATGCACTGAATCTGTCGAAAGTATAGATATCTTGTCTTACGTTCAGAACATTTGTTAAAAAGGTTACAATATTAGTTTTGCTAAAACACTTCTAGATAAAGATTACCTGCTTTAAGACTTAAAATATTTATCCTCACCAAATCAACATTAAACCATACCAAACAAGTACATGTAGGTTAATAGCACAACACTGTTGTATCCTCTACATCATTATTGTAAACAGATTTAACAGTATAATGAAATGATCAATAAGGAGGCTTTCCATTGTTGAAACGAGTCAATAACCTAAAAGATATTTATAATATTTTTGATATTCTAAAACTAAAACAACTGACTTTTTTCCCTGATCCATTATTAACGGTCATCTTCCATATAGAAAATAAATTTTGTATTTAACTGAAGTTTAATTGATACATAAAAACAAAATTCACCCAAAGAAAATCACACTGTGAATTATAGCGATTAACACCAAGTTAGAATTATTGGCGAATGCACACACTTTGTGAGTGAGTTACTGCCCCTGGCTGAGGCAGGTGTCCGTATGCTACCTTATGCATGTCCTGTCCAGGAAAGGGAGCGGGAGGCTCTTTACCAGTCACAGGGTCCTGTATATATATATACATTATGCAATTATGGTACCTGAGTAGAGTTGAAACCTAAATCCTTTTTGTTTTGTATATGAACAATTTGTTTTCAGGGTCTTGTGTTTACACTTGTAGGCAAGTTCCAGGGTCCTGTGATTATGCTTAAATACAATTCTTACTGTTAGGTTCCAGGGTCCTGTGATTATGCTTGAATACAATTCTTACTGTTAGGTTCCAGGGTCCTGTGATTATGCTTGAATACAATTCTTACTGTTAGGTTCCAGGGTCCTGTGATTATGCTTGAATACAATTCTTACTGTTAGGTTCCAGGGTCCTGTGATTATGCTTGAATACAATTCTTACTGTTAGGTTCCAGGGTCCTGTGATTATGCTTGAATACAATTCTTACTGTTAGGTTCCAGGGTCCTGTGATTATGCTTGAATACAATTCTTACTGTTAGGTTCCAGGGTCCTGTGATTATGCTTGAATACAATTCTTACTGTTAGGTTCCAGGGTCCTGTGATTATGCTTGAATACAATTCTTACTGTTAGGTTCCAGGGTCCTGTGTTTATACTTATATTATTATAGCCATAGTTTCTTAAGGACCTCTGTTTATACCTGTAGATAATTAATACTGTACATGGTACCAGTGTCCTATGTTAATATATAGAAATTATTATAGTATATAGCACCAGGGTCCTGTGTGTATACATTTGCTATGTCGACTACAGAACCAGGATCCTATGTTTACAGTTTGATTTCTTTGGGCCTAATTATGACATCAATTGATATGACATTTAACTTAATGGTTTTAGAGACATACAACAAATCAAATCTTAGAAGGAAGGGGACAATCGTGCCTACATGTCTGAAATGTAGCTGGATGAACTATATAAAACAGTGTACGCCATTCTGTATGTTAACAAATAACACACATCTAAGCCATACACTAGTGGAGTGCATTTAAAGAAAAAAGACAATATGGGCCAAAGAGGTTGTTCTGTGGGACTGAGGGCTCTCAAAACTTCCAAACACACACTACCAATTACTGAGCTAATATCCGACTGATCGTTGAACAAATTAATCAGTCTTTCTCTACCGCACTGAAATAAACAAATTCATATAAAATTCAGCAAAAAAGCCAACTTACATAGTCAAAGATCTCATGCGACGCACAGTTGATGGCAAGGAAGAAATCTTCACCAACGGTCAAGTCACACTGGGCAATGGCTTCCTGCAGAAGGTCAAGACCTTGCTCTGGTCGGTCAAATGTGGGACAAAATGCTCCGATATCATTGGTCAACTTGGCAGCAACCTGGTGTAATAAATCATTATAGATCTCATGTAGGTGAAGGTAAGTATTTCTGTAGCATACTCTTAATACTGTATTCCTTGTACTTAGCAGTCTGTCTTCTTTTATAGCAGCTATTCAGATTATAGTAATGATACAAATCCCTACCCAACCCTACCCAACCTCTCAATACCTACCTACCATGGAACACAAAATTTAGCAATATGAACAAAATTTAATCACTTATTCAGATTATTAGAATGCTACCCTACCCTACCAAAACCCTCAACCTGTGCCTTCCCAGGTAAACAAAATTCAATATTTGTAAACACATTAAGACTATTTGCCTTCACTGTTGATATATGGATGCTTAATTTGCAGAGAAATGGGCAGAGGTATGATATTATACTGTGGAGTGGATTTACTGGCCGGACATCTGTGAACAACTCCATAACAAATTTTATCATAAACAGAGTACGTTAAAAAAAAATCAAACAATTTTTATTGGAATATAATTTTTACAAAATTTGGGATACAACATGTATAAATTTCCCATAGTGGGAATGGTACTGAATTTTACCCCCAATAGCATAAAAAAAAACACAAAACTTCATTAGTAAAATTTTGTTGATTACATAATGTACTCAGATCAAATGTTTTGTTCTTGGAATAAATTTATGCAGTTAAAATTTAGTGCAAAATGGTTAAATCTTTATCAGAATGGTAACACCTCCCTCAAAGGTAATATTTATTATAATTTATTGAATACTATATTAATGTCTGCAAATCAATTCATTATTTCTGCTAGGGATAAGGTCTCACTTACCCCTGATTTGGTAAATAAATTTTTCCCAACATAGTTGTAGATTTTTTGTATCAGCGGCAAGCTCTGGGAAAAAAAATATATACATAATAAGTGGTCATCATATTAAAACCAACCCAAGACTAATTCCTTGAAAACAATGTATAATATAAATTTGTATTTTCATAGAGGAACTTGGTATATAAGCTTAATAATTAAGTGATTACAAAAAAACTGGCAAAAATCAAACATCCTGCATTCAATTATTACTTGAATTGGTCTGAAATATTACATCAATGGTTTCATGTTTGAGAAATCTTGTCATATAAATTATACAGTAGTTTTATGCTGTACGTAAATACAATTTTAACAATTCTAATGGGAAAATATAATGGGTCTGGCCATTAAAAGTGTACATGATAAATGGTCAGATATATGGTTAATGGATAATTAATGGCTGTATAACTGCTATGTTGAAATGTAGTGGAGTTTCAATATATTAATAATAATTTAGCTTACAATGAATGCTAGTTTGATGCTGTGGATATTGATCTTTAAATAATAATCACTATATACCGAAAAATGTTCACCCAGTCAAACTTTCACCCTTTGCCAATAAAATCCATATTCACCCAGAGTTACTTACACCCTTAACATTTAATTACTATGTATATTATGTTGTTTACTAGTGTTCGCTGTAATGATAAATTCACCCGAATTACAGAGGGTGGAAAAGGTGAAAGCTAAATTGCAGGGAAAATTTCCCAGTATACAGTAATTTTCATAATAATTTTTAACTTTTTAGTTTAACATTTTTATTGTAAATTCTACTCAAATTACCATGAAATGAAATACCTGATCACTTTGGTGATATTGATATACCTAACCATAGGAAATCTGAATAAAACATCTCTGTCATGGAAACTGTACCTGCGAGAGAGGCATGCCTGGCTTAGGGACCACTATAAACTCCTTTATACAATTGGATTTCCCGAGAGCTGCACGTCCACTCTGTATGATGGTAACCATGGGTGTTGGTACTGTCATTTCAAATGGTACCTACAAATATTATCACTAATGTTGTAAAAATTGCACATTATTGCAGCAGCTGATATCATATGGCGACAGTGTCTCTGGATGACGATTGGGCTATTCAAGGGCCAAATCAAAGCGCTGCCACCAGCTGGACACAGCATAAAAGAAAAGAATGTAGATAAGAAAGAAAATAAATGAAATAACACCCAAGTACATATTCCGTCTTTGCGTATTGCAGAGTTATCTTCTCTTGGGAACAGCTCCCAAGAGAAGATAACTCTGCAATACGCAAAGACGGAATACACACATTGTATTTTGGGCAGCAGATTCATTTTGATATTGTCAGTTTTCTCCTGGCAGAGGACACAGAAGAAAACTCCTAAATTAGTCATCTCATATGATCATGCAGTGTGATACAGCAGGCCAATTCTTTTCAAATGTCCTCAAACAGTTTATAAATAAGCAATACTGTTGTATGTTTTTATCTTACCTAGGAGATTATGTATTCCGTAAAATATTCATTATTTTCTATTTGTTCAATATTATCTCATATGGCTATTCAATTTTCTTCCAAAAAAGTTAAACTGAACAACAATGGTGGGCAATACAATGTTGACAACAGAACAGTTAAGTTACAAAAGACGTACTGATATATTTGGCACACATTCTTGTTTCAATATGTTGATTACATCAGGAGATAAGAACTGATGAGACGTTAGTAACATCCTCGATATCCAGGGGTTCCGCTCACTTACGCTCTCTGCACCCCTGGAATATGTCATAGCAAAATTGAAGGCTCAGTGTGCGGAACCTTGTTGATGAGACAAAAAGACTAGTTCAATCCTTTGATGTACATCAAAAGAATCTCGCGGTCACGTAACGTAACGGTAAAAATTGTCAGGCTTTGAAGTTGGGCGTCTCTCCTTTGTAATCTTCAAAGGACAGGTATCCGCCTAGCGATTGGTCAGTTTTTTTTTTACCTGAGACCAATCAAACAGCTATCTTTGTGCCTTCAATTTTGCCATGACATATTCCAGGGGTGCAGAGAGCGAAAGTGAGCGTAACCCCAGGATATCGAGGATGCGTTAGTAAGTGATATACAGAATCGTGTAATGCAAGGACTGAAAACTGGCTAAATCACTTATAGTGTTATAAAATAAAGAATTTTATTCCAAGTTTGAAGTTTTGTATATAAACGTGAATTTTCCGTACCTCTGTGAATCGGAGCCCGGCGACGTGTTGGAACACCGGTATCTGCTGTATATGTGCTGCGGCCATACAGGCTGCTCGACTTATGGTGCTAACTGCGCCAGCACCCGGTAAAAACTTCTCGGACGGCTCCACAGGTACGGCAACTGACATCTGACTCTTACCTCCCTTTCTGTAACCAGAAATGTTTTCACCTTTTATTATTTTGAATAAGAACATTTTATCTCACTTTATTAGTATTTTTTTTAATTCTATAAATATCTTTAGATATCCACAATTCTTATTCCAATTATATTTCTTCATAATTTTCTGATTATAATCAATTTGTTAAATTAAAATATGGCACTGGCCAATTTCTTGTCAATTTATGTTAACATACAGGAACCTCAAATCACCGTTTTTTTGATGGACATATAACATTTTCAACAACATAGTGATCTGAATTACATACACATATTGATTTAATTTCATAGAAATATGCTCCATGATTTTAGATTCTATATATAAATTTGATACTGTACACTGTATTTATACATGACATAAAAAGTAATGCTCATTACAAATGTATTAAAAGGATGTAAACAAACTGTAAAGAACAATCTCTGAAAAGAAAAGAAAAACCTGAAATAAAAATGCAGGAATTTAAAATTGCAATAAATAAATTATAATTTTTGTTTACATAGGCATACCAGTCCTTGTAGAGCATGCAATAAATATAGGAACTCTTGTGAAAGCAAAAGTTACATAATGTAAATATATACATGTATAATATTCTTACTCCATTTTCTTGAGAGAAAAAAAAGATGAATTCCAAAGGTTTTTCAAATCAAGATTCATTTGATAGATATCATTTTCAATTAAATTAGTTTTCAATTTCAAAACTTCCAGTTTTCCTACTTCATAAGTTTGAACAATTATGAAATCTAAACATTACATTTTTAGTAAAAAAGAATTGAATTCATGGGAATGAATTTTTAAAAATTAAGTCTAAGTTTTGGAGGTTCAACAGAAAATTGTTTAGAATATTTGATGATTCATACCTTTTGAAAAGTATTTCTTTAAAATAAAGATAGTGAATTCAGATTGATTTTTTTAAATTAACCAATATTTAGGTATCAATCTTCTTTTTTCATCAGATAATGGAGCTTATTAAATTCTCACAACTGTAATGGAACATTCCTCTTCAATTTTTATGCCATGGATTTTAGTGAACTGACCTATGCAGTTTTAATTACAAGGAACTGCTTTTTGTTTATCTTAAACTACCTTCACAACTTTTAAATATGATATTATCTGAGGTAAAAAAAAAAAAAAAGAACAATATGTATTTTTTAATTTCCTAGTTTCCTAAAATAGGAAAGCATCTTTCACAAAAATATCTCGCTCAACATTTATTTTTTGCTTTGATATTTAGCAATTAATAATTATCAACAAGCAAATTATTCCCAAAGTCCACAATTATTGAAATTCAAAAGGATATAGCCACAATATATATACTGTATCATTATAAATTACATATATGTCATTAAACAAACGTTTTGTTTATACTGATGAAATGTTCCGCCATTCAATTCCGATTTGTTGAACAAATAGGCCGAAAATCAAAACGGCATGTTATAACAAACGCATGCAAATGATGAACTAGTCATACTGAGAGCATAACAGTGATTATCTGTGTAATATAGACTATAATTAAGCAGAGCTGTAATTCGTGAAATATGACAGACATCTTTGTAGGACTGTTTTAGTGACATCACCACTGTTGCTGTGTAACTGTTTCTGTGAGAACATCACTATTTAGGACAGTTTCCAGTGATTGTTGTTTGCTTACTTATACTGTTATGCTGCTTCCAGTAGCTAAAAAGTGCTATATTTTCCAGAAATGTTCAAAAAATGTTCCCAATAACAATAAAAAAATGATTAATAAGTTTCTACGATGTCACTTAACTGTGTATACATTGTAACTGTTTCAGTGACATACTGTATACAACTGTTTTTTTGTGCATCACTACCCTGTACAACTGTTTCTGTGATGTCATTACCCCGTACACCTGTTTCTGTGATGTCACTACTCTGTACAACTGTTTCTGTGGTGTCACTATCCTGTACAACTGTTTCTGTGATGTCACTACTCCATATAACTGTTTCTGTGATGTCACTACCCCGTACAACTGTTTTTGTGATGTCACTACTCCATATAACTGTTTCTGTGATGTCACTACCCCGTACAACTGTTTTTGTGATGTCACTACTCCATATAACTGTTTCTGTGATGTCACTACCCCGTACAACTGTTTCTGTGATGTCACTACTCCATATAACTGTTTCTGTGATGTCACTACCCTGTACAACTGTTTCTGTGATGTCATTACCCCGTACACCTGTTTCTGCGATGTCACTACTCTGTACAACTGTTTCTGTGGTGTCACTACCCTGTACAACTGTTTCTGTGGTGTCACTATCCTGTACAACTGTTTCTGTGATGTCACTATCCTTTACAACTGTTTCTGTGGTGTCACTTCCCTGTACAACTGTTTCTGTGGTGTCACTTCCCTGTACAACTGTTTCTGTGATGTCACTATCCTTTACAACTGTTTCTGTGGTGTCACTTCCCTGTACAACTGTTTCTGTGGTGTCACTTCCCTGTACAACTGTTTCTGTGGTGTCACTTCCCTGTACAACTGTTTCTGTGGTGTCACTACCCTGTACAGCTGTTTCTGTGGTGTCACTACCCTGTACAACTGTTTCTGTGATGTCACTACTCTGTATAACTGTTTCTGTGATGTCACTACTCTGTACAACTGTTTCTGTGGTGTCACTATCCTGTACAACTGTTTCTGCGATGTCACTACCCTGTACAACTGTTTCTGTGATGTCACTGCTCCTTATAACTGTTTCTGTGATGTCACTACCCCCTACAACTGTTTCTGTGATGTCAATACTCTGTACAACTGTTTCTGTGATGTCACTACCCCGTACAACTGTTTCTGTGATGTCACTACTCTGTATAACTGTTTCTGTGATGTCACTACTCTGTACAACTGTTTCTGTGGTGTCACTACCCTGTACAGCTGTTTCTGTGGTGTCACTACCCTGTACAACTGTTTCTGTGATGTCATTACCCCGTACACCTGTTTCTGCGATGTCACTACTCTGTACAACTGTTTCTGTGGTGTCACTACCCTGTACAACTGTTTCTGTGATGTCATTACCCCGTACACCTGTTTCTGCGATGTCACTACTCTGTACAACTGTTTCTGTGGTGTCACTTCCCTGTACAACTGTTTCTGTGATGTCACTACCCTTTACAACTGTTTCTGTGATGTCACTACCCTGTACAACTGTTTCTGTGATGTCACTACTCCTTATAACTGTTTCTGTGATGTCACTACCCCATACAACTGTTTCTGTGATGTCAATACTCTGTACAACTGTTTCTGTGATGTCACTACCCCGTACAACTGTTTCTGTGATGTCACTACTCCATATAACTGTTTCTGTGGTGTCAATACCCTGTACAACTGTTTCTGTGATGTCACTATCCTGTACAACTGTTTCTGTGATGTCACTACCCTGTACAACTGTTTCTGTGGTATCACTACCCTGTACAACTATTTCTGTGATGTCACTACCCTGTACAACTGTTTCTGTGATGTCACTACCCTGTACATCTGTTTTTGTGACATCACTTCCCTTTACAATTATTTCTGTGATGTCACTACCCTGTACAACTGTTTCTGTGATGTCACTACTCCATATAACTGTTTCTGTGATGTCACTACCCTGTACAACTGTTTCTGTGATGACATTGTTGAAAATGTTCCTGACAAATAGTTCATACAAAAAAAAAGGGCAGTACTCACTGCAATGTAATTTAGTTTCTCTAACTTGATAATTCGAAATTTCATTAATATTTGTTTGACAAAATTTGTTGTACACATTACAAACTGTGGTTATACCAAACTAGTTTAGGTCCTCAGAAAATTCTAACTGTACATACTACAAAATTGGTTTTTATATATTTTTTAATAACATAAAGTGAATGAATTAAACATAAATGAAAAATTCAACAAAAGTTTTAATTCCATACCAACTAAAGATGGTTTCTCATTGATTTTCAGCAAAAAGTGGGATCAAAACACAACGATCTTCTTTTTATGTTGTACTGTTCATGGTTTTTTTAATGTATAATAACAAGAAAATCATAGATAATATTGTTTAAAAACACCAAAACTGATCGAGTAACCAATCTTTAACAAAGTATTAAATGTAATAAAGAACATAACTTTACAAACTTACACTGGCTTATTAGCACTGTGTTTCCCCCTGTCATCTCTTCAATAGTCACACAAGTAGTTAACATGACTAATAACACTTTTCAAAAATATAATCTTATTGTCATAATTACCGATTATTACATTGAGGCATTACTTTTTTCTAGAAAAACAAAATAGAATTTTTAAATAAAAAAATCCGAACTTCATTTTTATGATTTGAGTGCCATCAGGTTAATCATGAAATGTTTGGTGATGTATATAAATCATTTCTTATGAATTTAACTTGTCTAAAAACACAAATATTAAACCATTATTTAAAAAGTGTCTGAAGTATCCTGGAATAATTTTAAATTAACCAAACTAAAATTACAAAATAAATTATCTTAATCCTCTGCAGACAAGAATTCCACAGAAGTGGATGTGTCGCCTGCTCAGCGCTTTTATTAAGAAAAGTGTTTTGGCTTGAGTTATCGCGTAAACAAGAAAATATTAACACAGCGTTGCTATGTCAACAAGTGTGCTATGCCAAAACGTGGAAAGTTGAAACTCGGCAGAAAAACCCGTAATATATGTTGAACATTATTTTTTCTAGCATTACGGTACAAAATTTGAAAGGAATTGATTAAAAAATAAAAGAGTTCCTGCATTTACTATACAATGCCCTTATTTGGCAATAAAAAGGGCAAAACTCCTCCAAAATGCATGTAAACTTCTGAAATGCGACCTTGTACGAGCTTGTATATGCAATATGTGTACCAAGTTTGAGTTCAACCAACCTAAGGGAACTCAAGGTATCGCATAGAAACCTTGTTTTGGACGACGCAACCGACACCGACAAAGAAATACCTATATGTCGTCTCGCGTTGCAGGCGACACAAAAACGTATTTAAAAACAAACTTTTTATTTCAAACATCCAATTTTTTTTTTAATTGAACAATGGTACTTACTTGGACTTATTTCCACTGTGTTTTACTCTTTCTTCTCTTCAAATTGCCAAGACCGGACAATAAAGAGTCAATTTTGGTCATTTGGATATAAAGCCCAAACCCAAACCATTCACACTTATTGGAAACTTAAATATTTCATATTTAAATACTTCGATTTTCTTCAAAACATGTCTGGTTAATAGTTGTTGAAAATGCATTTTAATGGGACATCCTATTGTAGATTTATATAAACGAAGACAGAAAGGAGTCATTTATAATTATATCTTAAATTATGTGTAATTATTTTTTATAAACATTGTATGTTTACTTATTTTATATCTTTATTGATATATACTTCTATAAAAGGCATGCATGGTGATTACAAGTGCCATTTCAGAAACAATATTTACAATAAAGTGAGACCAAAGAGAATAAAAAAAAAAATGACAAAAACTGTCAGGACAGAGTGGAAGATAACTTTAACAAAGATATACCTGTATATACCTATTACCATAGATGATTCTAGTTAATCGACAAGTTGCAACTACGCTACTTTATTAACTTTCCTATGCAGTTTAGTTTAATGAAAATTTCTTTAACTCACATGAAATTAATGAAAATTTCAAATAACAACACAGTTTAAGGTGTATTGTACTGTATAAGACAACAAAAAGAACAAATAGGTGACCTTCTTTTTGAAAAATTATAACTGCACTTAGCATAGCAAGTAAGAAATTGTGAATTTAAGAATTGTCTGTAACCTCATAAACCCATATGTAAATAAAGTGCTCATCTTTGGAATTACATTTTTTCGAAATCTCATACCGATGCCTTTTTCTATCTTGCAATATATACATATAAATATTCTTAGATTGCAAAATTTTGTTTATCAACACAAAAATGATCAAAGACACAATGACATAAAAAAAAAAAAATCAAATTAGGAAAAGATTTGTTATTTTTTTAATTAAGATGAAGATTTGAATAAAAAAGAGGAATATAGTTATCGTAATAACAGTTTTTCGTTAAGTACCTATATAAGTGTGCTTGAGCCTGTTTAGATTTTCGAGTGTAACAGAAACATATGATGAGATACAATGATTAGCGTACTATCTATGTAGTAAGAGAGACGTAATAAGTGATGTGTTATACTATCAGAGATCTAGAGTTGCTCACTCACTTCTTTTGATCTTTTCCCCTGGAACAAAATGGCAAGTGAGGATTTCAAAAATTTGGTGAAAGGTAGATTATGTAACAGTGACATCAACATATAATGACTTTCTGGACTGTTGTAAAAAAAAAAATCATAAGAGCTATTCCAGATATGAATAAATGGGAGGAAAATGGTGGTTAAGCTTAATTAATATTTTTTGGTGGTGGCATTTCAAATGAATATTTGAAAAGAAGAGCAAACAAATTAGTGGGTGGAAGTCACAAAAAAGTGTCCCCCTCTCATCCCCACCGAATCTCCGGTATATTTCTATCTGGAAAAGTCCCTGATATTTCTTATTTGCACTTTGCAAAATCTGTGGTGAAAGAATACATTACATAAGTTGAAACTTGTATAATCATTAAACAACTCTTTTTGATATATCACAAATATTAAAGATGAAACCCTTGATATAATGCCGCTGGTTTACATGCAGTAAAACTTCAATATAATGCCGGTAATTTCATTTAGCTCCTCCCTTACTGCCAAGTTATTTCAAAGTGCCAATTTCCTATTTGCTTTTTCTTTTATGTATTGAAAATTGCTTTACATACATGAATCGTCCATGATATATTATCAATGATAATAGACTTAATTTATAATGCTAAACATTTACGGGAAATAGGCTTGCAATATCAACAGGATTTTCCTCTATATAAATATCATTTTTTACACTACATTGTTCCATAAACATCTTTCACATACATGAGTATATTGTTAATATTTTTGAAACAAGAAATTCTGGGCAAATTAACAGTAATAAAATGATCATGACAATCTTTCATTAAAATAATTTCATTGTTCATTATAAAATGATAAACAGGATATATATGTATATTTATGAATAAGATTAATATATATATTATACATAATATACAATATTAAGGTGGAGGATTAAAAAAATGTGGACATTTACATGCAAATAAATAAGTACATGTAGATTTATAAACCAATCAAAATGGAGCATGTGCTTGATTAACCAATCAAAATATGCACGGACTGATATAGTGATATAAATAATGGGATATCGCATACATTTAAATATTATACTTTCCACCTTCCCTAAATCTATGTATGATACATGATTTATATTCATTCATATAAATAAGAAATACTAAACATGGAAAATGATCATTAGAAAAATATTTACTTCTTGATAGCTAAACGTTCTAAACATGTAGAGTAAAATATTTTTGAAATAAAAATGAATTAATTATTTTTTTTTCTAATCTAGCTTACTGAAAACATGGAAATAGTTATTATATAATTCACTAGAGGTTAAATATTATGCTAAAAAATATCCAAATTCTACATTAGATAATAAGTAAAAGATATCATTTCAGATTAATTCTATCTATTTTTAGAAAATACATACCTAAAGGCTGATTAACTAAAACTACACATATTTTCTCCCACAAGATAATTGGTTCGTGTAAAAATCAACCTCTAAATTGATAATGATAAAAAAGTGATTTCTTTATGCATAACAATTATATATATCAGATATTCATTGAGTAATTGCTGCCAAACTGTTTTATAAGGAAAGTGGAATATGAACTTTGTTTTATCCAATAAATTTTCTAAAGATATTTGTTCAACATTAAACTTTTGTGTTTAACATATTAAATTCATTATTGTATTTCACTGCTACATCGCTGGTTATCTTAAAAATCAAAATACTAATTTAAATGACTAATAAACTGTTAATTGATGTTAAAAAGTCACGCATACCAAAAAAACTATTAGGTTATTAAAAAGTATTTCTAATAAGCAAAAAAAAAAAAGTTCTTAAAAATGTTATTCATATCAAAATATCCTAGGTTAAGTAAAATTAAGGAGATTATAAAAGCATCCTATTAAAATATTTAGTTTTTCTACGTAGATACTGGTACCCGATGCTATACCTTTCATCACTAAAGTGTAGAGAGATTGAAAAGAGAAGCATGTTATTTCTGGTGATTTAAACCAAGCTACCATAAATACAGTCAAAGTTCATTAATAGGAACTTGGATATCTAAAATAATTGGTAAAGGTAGCTCAGCAAATTCAACATGGCAGCTGCCAATCAGTATAACTGACATACCAGTCTTGACCCAACAAAATGCAGCACTACAAATTTTTATTTTTCCTCACAAACATACAATGATGCCCAAGGGCCTTGCATCGCTTACCTGACTATTTTGGATTTTTTGTTTAAATATGTCTAGTAGTTTGGGAAGAAAGTCCCCCAGGAGGTTAAATTATGTTGCCCTTCATCTCCCAGCCACTTTGACTTAGTTTGGGAAGAAAGTCCCCCAGGAGGTTAAATTACCTTGCCCTTCATCTGTCAGCCACTTTTACTTAGTTTGGGAAAAAGCCCTCCATGAGGTTAAATTATGTTGCCCTTCATCTCCCAGTCACTTTTACTTAATTTGGGAAGAAAGCCCCCCAGGAGATTAATTACCTTGCCCACCATCTGTCAGCCCCCAGCCACTTTGACCCCTCAGTCCCCAAAAGGGCCAGCCTCATTATTTGCATAACTATTGATCTTCCTGGCCTGAGGATGCTAGCACCAAAATTTGGTTGAAATCTGCCAAGTTTGGTGGAGATATCTTTTAAAATAAAAGGACAACAGACGACGGACGACAGACAACTGACCAAAGATGGACAAAGCACCACCATACCTTAGTAGAAGCAACAGAAAAGTTCATGAGTCTAACGTGATATATAGTCAAACTTCATTATTACAAATTTATGGTTATTCTAAAGTTGCTTTTAGCTCCAGTATCCATTTTTCTGCTATGTATATAAACTCTGATATTTATATAAAAAAAAAAAAATCACAGTCCCTATGTTCCAAATACTTTAGTTTTGTTTTAATACAAAGGATAACCAATGTTTTAAAACTTCATCAAATTTTGAAGGCCAGTTCTAGGACATTAATATAGTCAATAATAAGAACAAATAGTATTCAGCCATTATCTATTAAGATCAAATCTAGATACATACTTGCTTGCTGACTTGGGTTGCTTCCCCTTGCCACTGGCCTGACTTGCGGTCTCCACATCCTTTGTCGACCCTTCCTCTGTCGCAGCAGCATCTGCCTCCTTTGCCAGTCTCTCCTCCTCGGCAGCCTGAAGCTCGGCGTAAAAATTGCTGAAAGGGGACATACTATTTATAACTTTTATTTCTATACATGCAAAGTGACCAGTTGCAATTATAGAAGACACTCCATTTTGTGCCACTTAAACAAAATGTTATCTCAAAATTATTTATTGTTTGAAATTGGGACTTTCAAAAAAAAAACAGAATTAATAGCTGACTGAATTTGATTAATGAAAGTAAAAAACAAAAAAAAGTAATTTACCCTTTGGTACGGGGACTTGAAATTTCAGTTGATAAACAGATGTTTGAGACATCTTACCAGGAGTATACTATGACACTAGGCTAATAGAAATAATATCAGAACAAATAAAAATGTTCAGAATTTGATTTAAAATATAGCATGGGCTAGTATACGTAGAATTTTGCAAAATTTCCCCAAGGGCTAGTACTCTCAAAAGATATAAAAAAAAAATGATACCACTGCTGTGTTTATGAAGATCAATTATGCGGTATATATATGTATGTCACAATGATCAACAGATTATCAGTATTCAGGTAGTTGGTTTCAGATTAGAAGAAAACAGTTAAAGTGAAAAGAGGGAAAGATCATATCTCATACCCTCCAAAAAAGGGTCTTTTTTTGTGTTTGATGATGCAAATTGTGAACTTACACAATCTTTGAGAAAAATAACAAAACTAGAGAAATGTCAGTAATTAATCCATGAAAGCCCAATTAAACTCCCATGATTCTCACGAAACGGGATCATAAAAAGAAACTCTCTGGACAGCATCTGTACCTGACGACATTGTCCACTTCCTGTTGCTGAGCAGGGTCCAGACCGGTCAGTCGGTTATTGAGATCTGTGTTGAGGATGCTGACCGCAGCTGTCACACTATTCTGTCGTTCAGTATCGTCCGCCTCTCTGTCTTCTGGTTTTGTGTTATCTGGTAGGTGACTATTGGGGGTCGGACTCACCACAGTGGCACTCAGCTACAGAGAAAGTTAGTTTAACACAGGTACAGTGTACAGGAAAATGAAAGATTTAACTGAGTTACAGAGAAAAAAAAAAGTTTTTTTTTAGGAAATACACAGTTAAATTAATGCAAAGGATCAAATCAAAATTTCAAAACAGAAGATCGAACAATTGCAACAACATATAAAAACAGATACAGAAGACCAAAATTATTATTCAGTGATTATTTATTTTTAAAGGTTAACAATAAAGTCAGTAAAGTTTCTCTGCGGAGAGAAGCGCACAACGGGGCGAACAATTGCTAAATCGCACAGTTGTGCCCACCATGTGTGGACAATGTGCGGACGGTGTTTGAACGATGTATGCACAGTGTGCGCACGCTATTTTTGGTGCGTTGTGCGGTCCCACAACTGTAGTTATACTGATGCAATAAAGTATGTCTATGTTATTGAGATGGCAATATACACTGACACGCAACAGAAACGCAGCCCCGTTTAATTTCAATAATTATGTAATATGGTACTAATATAATTCATGCATGTATTTATACAACATCTCATTGTGTACACCTGCAGATCCGTTTAAAACGGATGCATGTCTTAAATGGACATTCTGTGCTGGTTCCAAGGCTGACCACTAAACACAGGTTTTACAGAATTAAGAAAAGGCCAAACAGTTACAGAGAAGGATCACACAGCTATAGACATTATTTCAGTCAACTTAGGAAAAATTGAAATGCTGGTCATGATGCATGGTGTTTAAACTATAGGAAGGTTAAAAATGTACAATTTTAAACTCTAATTTGAACTGAAATGGTGACGAACAATCTCTGTGGATCCATATTAACAAATATCATTAATAATAAGAGGGTTTTAGATGAAGCAGAATCTTGCTTCAAATAGCCCCATTTTCCATTTCAGGACCCCTAAAATCTGAAAACTTGTTTCCCTATGTCCCCCTGGAATGACAACTTAAAAAGTTCTAGTCTCCAAGTTTTAATGATGTATATATATATATAATGACTTAAAGCATTGAATACTGACATTTATCATTTATGAGCAACCCAAATATTTACGCAGGACCCCCAATTTTCAATCAAGGGGTCCCAAGGACTCTCAAAGTCAAAATAGGATGTGAAACCCTCTAGCAACATGTTAATAATTATTATTTTTGGCATCATTTAAATTAATTTTACCAACAGCAAATACATGTACCTATTGACCCTTTCACCACTGTATACTATATAATGGACTCATCCATATCAATGCATGGTAGGGTCTACTAAATCTACATAGGGGTGAAAAGGTTAAACCTATTGCATCAATATCACTTACTCTCAGGTTATTCTTCACAGTGCAGAAAACTTCTGTTTGTACAGTTGGTTGGCCCTTGCTATCATAGGCTTCTCTGGCTTTTATCTGAAAGAGAATACCTGATGATTTTACACTAAAATCTGTGGCATAAATGCCTTGTTTCAAATACATGTACTTATTTTTTGTACCACAAAAATAAAACCTACTTTAATGTAAAATAGTAGATCAGATAAAGAGGTCACTATCTTAAGTTTGCAGTGTAGTATCTTGAAATACAATTTTATGCATACATACACTTAAAAACTTAAACTTTATACTAAGAAATATATAGAATGTTTTATTTTCACAGGAATTTTTTTCTGTGAAAATCAAACCATTATTATCAGTATCACATACACCTCCCTCTGACAAATGACATAATATTACAGTGAACTTTTGGACTCGTGATTCTCCTGTGTGATGTGCACACACTTTGATATCCCACTATATATGCATCAGTAAGCAATGGAACTCATTTACATTTTGAATATGATGTTCAGGACTAACTAGATGAAATCATACAGAAAGGATTGATATTTGGAAGAATTTAATATAACTTTATTTTCAACCTACAAAGATGATTTTTCATTTTTTTCCCCAATCCAATCACAAGTTAGATATTATTTTCCATAACCCCAGTTGTTCCCAACTAAAAAAGAAGATAATGTAAAATGGCTGGATTACTCGTTTGGAATCCTCTAAATTCTACATACAATGCATTCCACACTTACCTTTGTTATTGTAGGTGTTGTAGCAAATTTCTCAAAGTAATTTGCCTGAAAATAAAAATTGCAATCAATTTCATGTTTGCAATACATCAACTAACATCACAAATTACAAAGGTACTAAGGCTACACAATATTCTGTCCACTTTCCCAACCTATAGCAGCCTACTGTCTGATTAAGCAGTAGATTTTATTACCAAACATTGACATTTTCCCTTTCCCAAGTTCTTTTTCAATAACTTTCAGTACATAAACACCTGCACTTTATGGTTGAATGTTGATTGTAAATATATAAAAATAAAGCTAAAAGAATCTGTCACTACCAATAATAAACTTAAACTAAAATGCCATAAATGGTAGTAAGTACATTCCAATACAGTACTGTAAATATATGTGTTTTGTAGTAGGACGAGGATGAGAGATAATGTGGGAAATCTGTCAGTTCTGTCATATACTTTAACTGTTTATTGTCCTTGTGTATTTCTATGTTATACCATTCTACAAGTAACCAAACAGTACGGTAGGGCTGCACATTCGGCGTATGCTTCCCGTCGAGCAGCAGCTATAGCCGGTGCAGTCTATTTGTTTACATATAGGTGTATTAACATTTGAGACGACCGGACTCACTGCACATATGCTATAGATTTGGCCAATCAGAATGGGTGTGCGATACAGGTTATGCAGGACCGGGAGGCTGGGGTATAAATCGGGATGCACGAGCGAAATACAGTGACTTGCGTGGCCGGTTGCAGGCTGATCGGGAGAAGTATCTTCTCCACCTCGAGCAGTGTATCAGTGTTGCACATGTACTGTAGCAGTAGGGTGTAGGTATACCGTAGGGTAGTGTATTGGATGGGGGTGGATTTCGTATATATATCTTTGGTTATAGTTTAGGCCTAGTTTACCACGTGGGGGCTGGGGCTCTATAGGTTTACTAAATACAACCTTTTATTTTATTGTACGCACTGTATCTACTTTGTTCTTACACTGTATATTGTTGTTATTACTGTATACTTTCATCATATTGAACAGCATACACAGTTGTGTACTATTAAATAAATATCAGTGTCAGAACGTTATACAAGGTGTTGATTGGTTTATGACTCTGATGCTCCTTCATATCTATCGGACCTGTGTCTGACTGTACAGACGGACGCAGTAAGAGGTTCCTGGGGATTGCCGAGGGTCAGTAATGTCAGTAGTATTTGGCTAAAACTAATTACTATACGATCACATTCATCTACTGACTTAAAGGGGAGTTCCCTACAGCCGACGCTTGTAAGGCACCCTAATCAATGCTCATCTTTAACACTATTCCCCCCTTTTCAAAGCTGGCATATGTACTAGTGTGCGATAAGGGCTTCAAGGGCTGCATAGGTTATATGTGCCTTGAAGTCCTCGAGTGTTGTGCATTGCACTGCTGCTATGGGGAGGAGATTCCATTGTGTTAATATTGTGTGGGAAGAATGAATATGTGTAGGTGTCCTTTGTAGCAGATGTGTTTGTATGCGTAAGGGAGTGCATGTCTGGTTTGAGGGTCTATGGGGGATGAGAATAGATGATGGATTTTTTAACTCCCCGCCAATGGTTCTCCTATCCTTGAACGGGGAGGGTCAATGGCACCAGTTTGTAGTAGGACAGGGAAAAGTGCTAAAGATAGTGCTGTCGCTGGGGCTCGAACATGCAACCCTTGGCTCTCCGAAATTCCCTACAGCTGATGCTTGTACTTAGGCAACCTAATCAATGCACATATCTTGTACATGTTGTATGTTCTTCTTCTTCTTTACTTTACGGGGGCTCCATCAAAGTGGACGTTTATGCCCTCGGGGATGGATGTACCAAACTACTGTAGTCTGAGTTTCCTCTGGCCCTGACACCAGACTTATACTTTTTTGTCTGGGGTGGGAACCAGACATCTATCTGTCAAAATGTCTAAGTCTGGTGTTAGGGCCAGAGGAAACTTGGGCTAACTACCAAACTTGAATTACATGTGGGGTGGAGATGTAATAAAAATACTTAATGTATCCACCTACCAGGTATCCGAAAACATCGGACGGGCTGTCATAGAACATTGTATTCAATACATCCTCCATTTTGTTAGGTACCCCATTGTCGTTGTAATATTTCACGGCTTTCTGTTTGATTTCGTACAACTCTCTGGGATCACGAGCAGATGTCGTCTGAGTTGCGATAGTTGTCGGAGAAAACGCCATCGTTAAGATGTTGTTTAGTATACTGCAACTTGGGAAAGTTATTCGACTGGTTTAAATTAAACTGATACCAGTAATATGCTCGCTCTAAATTGGATCAATTGCCCACCGTCCGATATAAATATTTACAAAGCGTCCATACCTCCTTCCATTTTGAAGGTTGCCAAGGATGAGCAGAGTAATGGTTTCGTACAAATATTCGATTTGCAAATTTTCATGATAAATACATGAAATTTAATAGCAGTTTGAATTGATAAACTATTTATTAAATTTAATTAAACGATAAAAAGACAACTTCACAGCAATGCATAGGTTATAAAAAAAATACGAAAATACCAGACAGGTGCTCTAACGGTGCGTTCGAATAGTAACGGTGCATTGGAAGGGGTACAGTCGTTTCGGTACAAGAGGTTTCGGTACTTTTTGTAAGTAATTTCGGTACTCGTATTTAAGTTATTTCGGTACTTCAACATTTTTTTCAGTACTTCGATTATTAGTTAATACATATTTGTCATTTATTGTTGGTTGTTTATTTAACGTTTGCTTTCGTAGTTGTTTAAACAATCAAGCAGATCAGTCAATCATTGCTTTCGAACTTCAAATGTGATCCCGCAACATACGCGATGGTTGTTTATTTAACGTTTGCTTTTTAACTGAGCAGCTGAGTAGATCGGAGTAGCTCCGAGTAGATCGGAGTAGCTCGCGCGATCGGAGTAGCTCTTTAGGAGAGAAACTCAACGTTGAGGGAATTCATCAACTTGTCATAAAAATGACGGTTCCGATATCAATTTATCAAAAAACTCATCATGTCTTCGGCTGATACGTGTATTCAGTGTGACGGAGTTGTTTGACCTCGACAGGAAGCCATATAGTGTGACGTGTGCAGTAGATGGCAGCACAGAACTGTGGATTAGGGATTTCCATTTCGGATGGAAATACCTATTGTTATGTGTTTTCGTATTATTATTATTCTTAATTAATTATTATTAATACATCATATATATGTCCCGTTATACTTAGAAATTATTGAATATTGAAATTATTAATTAAACATGTTATATATATGTCCCGCTATACTAGCTATGTATTTTGTTTAATTACCAATTATAAATTTTTTCTGGAATAGCGGTTTTCCGAAAAAAAACACATTTCAAATATTTAAATGCTGGACTTTATGACTGTTACATTTACATTGTATACGTCGTAGTTACCAATAATGGCATGACACTACGGGAGAGAGAGAATATTTTTATCTTGGGTGTTTTTTGAAAGGGCTGATCTAAATCCCTCTACGCTTTCTGCGCACACTACTATATCATCCAGTTGATTCCACTCAAGCGATGTTTTGATGAAGAATGAGTTCTTGTATGCTTCCTGATTGTATCCTGGGATGATTAATGGCATTGAGTTGTTGACAATGTTCCTGTTTAATGTTGCTAATGTTTCATAGTTCTCATAACGCTTTGTGTTTGTTTTTTGCGTCCTTCCAGAGTGCTGGATTATCTGATCTGGGGGTACAGCTGGTATTAACCCCTCAACTACTTTATACATGAATACTAGCCGCTGTGATTTCCTTCTGTTTTGTATGGTTGGTAGTTTTAGGTGTTGTAGCATTTCTATTACACATCCTTCATCCCGACTTTTGTAATTTCCAGTAATTAGGCGAGCTGCTCTTCTAGCTTTTCAATGTCTGATTTTAGATGAGGGTCCCGAATAATACTGCCATAGTCCAGAATTGATCTAACAAGTGATATATATGCTGTTTTCTTACACTCTTTTGGACAGTGTTTTAAATTACTTCTAAAAACCCAAAGTTGAGCTCGCTTTCCATGCGATGTTGCTTATATGAGTACTCCATTTGAGGTCGTTTGATATCTGGAGTCCTAGGTATGGATTGTTTTGTACCTCTTCCAAAATGTGGTTATTCAGACTGTAGAATTTTTTTGCCTTTTGTCTAATTGATATGATGTAGCATTTTTTGGCATTAAATCTTCGAGGTTTTGTACGTCATTTTGGAGGATGTTATGGTCATTGAATGTTGATTTGTCGATGCAAAAGGCAGTCGTCGGCGAAAAGGCGTACTTGTGATTTGACCGAGTCTGGTAGGTCATTTATGTGGCAGAGGAAAAGGAGTGGCCCTAGTACCGTCCCTTGGGGAATTTATGCAAGAGTCTCTTGTGTGCCACGGTGTCAAATGCTTTGGAGAAGTCTAGTATTGCTACATCCAACTGGTTCCCATTGTCATGCGCTTTTAGGAAGTCATTTATAGTCAAGAGTAATTGTGTCTCACAGGAATAACCAGATCTGAAGCCGCGATTTAGATTGGTGAGTGCTTTATGTTTTTCAAGATGTTTTAGCATGTGTCGACATCTAAAACATCTTGAAAAACATAGAGTACTAAATGACTAAATGGCGTTTGAAATATGGCAAGCCATCTCAACATTTACCACTGTGTCATCCCAGAAAATATTTTATATATAATCAAGACATATATCTCATTATACTCCTAATGATATGAAACTTTTTTTACACTTAAAAGGTATATCTCATTCAGTCAGAGGTATCTTTAAACTTTTTAAAGGCATATATTTGAAGTAAAGATATCTCATTTCGAGGTGTCTATGATTCCTTTTCAGTATGGCAAGCCACCCTTTAATACTACAAACAATTTTTTGCAAACACATTGGATATGAATTCTTTATATGAAAATGAGATATCTTTGCTTCAAATATATGCCTTTAAAAAGATACCTCTGACTAAACTTAATATTTTGCTTATAAGCTGCGACACCAGTGCAGTTCCCTTAATTATGACCTTTTTAGAGTTAACCTTGTTGAGTGTGCATTTTGTAATTGTGGTCATCCTTGTCAGAATGTCTTTCACTATTTTATTGAATGTCACCTTTTTACAAACGAAAGACGTATTCTGGTGCGAAATTTAAATAATTTGAATGTTGCGTTAAATTTAGAAATACTTTTGTTTGGCAAATCACAATTTCCCATGGACCTTAACTCAAACATTTTAAGATATGTGCAAAACTTTATTAAATCCAACAAGAGATTTTGAGTTCAAATTGTAATAACAATTGTATATATTTATTGTCATTATTGTAATGTCATTCGGAATGTATATTGGGAGAAGGCGTTGATAAGTTGTCATAACTTGTGCCTAATCCCTTGTCTACTCCTGGCAATATATTAAACTAAAAAAACAAAATAATTAACGGCACGTGGTCATTACCATTTTACCCTACAACTACCTATCACAGGCACGTGGTCAGTACATGTACCTAGTACTAGCTATTAAGTTATCCTCCTTAATCATCTGACAAAGTATTTCTACGGCTAGTGTTAATAATATATTGATTTTCAAGGAGTAAATAAAACTTTTCAAAACAGCTGGCAAAACTATTAATTGGTGTAATAAAAATAGAAGTCCATTCTTTCCATGTACATGTACAAGAAAAACACGTTAAGTGGGAAAATATTAATTTGTAATGAAAAGTACTGACAAAATACCGACAAGTGCTGAGGTGTCCCACTGAAAAGCCGAGGTGAGCCGAAAAAAGGGCCGAGGTGTCTTGAACCGTAAGTGCCGAACTCTCAAAGTGCCGAGATGACCTGTTACCCTGAAAAGCCATCGAGCTCCTGTTGTCTGAATAACTCGTAGTTCAGATAATTTCCGTGTCTGTAAATTAATATTGTGGTATGTTTTGACCTTGTGTGTTGACGCTGTGGTATATACATGTATGTTCTTTATCGTATAAGGGAAGAAATCCCAACAGAGTAAACACTATATATAGCTAACATTTAAAACGATAAACCCTCGGCTAGCGTAAGCCGAAGATAGAATTTACACTGACAGTGTCATTATAAACATTTTTTGTAAATATATTAAATGTTTGTTATAATATGATGGGGTCCAACAACCATGACATTTGGGTTTGTCCAAATTCTAAATATAAGTTAGTGAGGAATTTCTACCTTGGTATGTGTAGGACTGATTTGTTGTTGTTGAATATCTTTATTTATTGGTTCTATGTTACAAATGTCTAGTGCTCAATTACTGAATCAAAACGACAGAAAAAATATCACGCGTGTAATAGTTATTTGGCGTTTAATTAAGTCACGAATGATTTATATGCGACATTCGAAATATAAAACAGAGATCCTCCGAAAAGTCACGTGTATAATTTGCTATCAACCCATCATGGAAATGTGTTCAAGAATGGCAGAGAACACGCGCAATAATAAATGTGTTCTCTCTGTTTAAATTTGAACATTGTTTGACAATTATTTTTCAAGAGAGGCAAACTTCTGCTTTAGTAGGGTTGTCAAACCGGTCTAAATTTAGTAGCCGTTTACTCGGAAAATCTTCCGACCGAGTAAAAATTTGTAAAAGCAAATGAAATATCAACAGTTCATCAAATGAAAAATTAAAACGACATGCGAAATTTGGCAAGGCGGATAATATGACGATTCCTTGGTCAACGAACTTGGAAGATAATATTTCCCGTCTTTTACTTTTGTTTTTCTCTCGCTGCTTCGTTTCCTGTTCCTTGTCCTTTTCTCTTTCATATTTCGTCAGACAATTTCTTATCCTGCTAAGAGTATTTTAAAGATTTTTGTTATTCTTGAAGAGCACTCTTTTTGGTTTGTTTTTGTTTTGTTTTTGCTATGGTTTTTTTTTAGTTTTAATTCTATTTTGGGGCAGGGGTGAAGGTTAGGGCTTTATTGACGTTGATGCAGCAGTAGCACTAAATATTTTCTTCAATTCGAGTTCCTCCCCTTCCATCACTCCATCTGTCATTATTGGTTCTTAATCAAACGTATTATAGAATATGGATATACTAGTACAATAACGACCGACTATTTCCGAATGTATAACCTTACTTAACTCGGGAGCTTATGTTGTGGGCCCATGCTGTCTCTCCTTTTCTTTTCCGCAAAAGTCCGCAACACGTGAAAGGTTAATAGTTAACAATACACAGTTGTTCATCAATCATAAATTTTAGGCATCCGGATGAAATAAGTAATATACAATATCTATCAGGATTATATATACAATTGTACTATTTTTTATGGAATCCAATAGTGTCCTATTACAGTTTCCGGTTTGTTTGAGCTAATAGAATATATCGAGAAGTTTAAGATCAAATAATCTCCAAAGAGGGCTAAAAACTACCTCGATGGGATCATCGTGTTGTAGCCGATCAATCAAGCAAGAATTCTGCTGTAAAATTTCTATGTCTCGCACAAAAACAAAACACCAAAAAAAATTACTTACGTTAGTTAAGCATACAAACATTGACAATGGATATTCCTACTCTTTAAACACTTTAATTTAATGATATATACATGTACCTTTATCTTTATTTGCAAAATCTTCAAAATCAGGTTAATTCTGTGAGAGCGGTAACAAAAAGCCGAAATCCGATATAAACGATGATAATGATATTGATGTTATTCATGAATATTTGATGAAAGCGTGAAAATTATACGGAGATAACCGCTAAACACTGTTTATGTTTTGTGAGTGAGGTTATGAGTTCATAGGTCCTGAATGCTTCTCTATACCGTAAAACAGTTTAGTTCCTATTTGGGTTTTGGTATTTATCTAGAATTCAGGCAATGTCCTATACTCGAAATATTTTTTCACATGTTTCATGGTATGAATGACGTAAGGTCCATATTGTTCCGGCACGTGCGTGTTGCCTTCCCCTGTCGCCTTGGTCATGAAGTTTTCACCAATATCTCCATCGAATTTAGGCTCCAGGAAAAACGGAAGTGAGTACCTGTCGACTCCAATGTCAACAACTCTGTGACGAGTCGCCTTAAATCGACCACCCATCATTCGTGAAAACACATCACCAATATTCATGACAAGACTTCCGGTGCGTGGTTCAACTTCCGCCCATCTTCCGTCGGCTGTGACGATTTCAAGACCTTTGTAGCCAAACGTTGCTAGGAGAGTGAGAAAGGTAGAGTCTGTGTGCGCAGGCGTCGTCAACACCTTTCCATCCTCGATCCGGGCATTTTCCGGGGGACTTCCTGTCCACGGCGGATAGTGCATTATACGGAGTGTAGAGCAAGGTCTCTTGGTGAAAAGTTCCTCGAAAGAAAACTCATCTATACCAAGACCTATTGCCGTGAGACGTAGGATTTCTAACGACAACTCATGCATAACTTCATAAAGATCACGCATGAACGTCTTGAATGGGAATGTCCCGTCTTCTTCCGGCCACACCGATGGTTCATAAAACCAGTTCCCAGGCGTAACTTCCGGATCACCAGGTGTTATATCCCGTGCGAACTCAAAACCTTCCTTCCGACTCGGCTCGTTTTCGCCAACAGGGAAATATCCACGGTAAATATTTGAATTAGCAGGGTTCCATATTTTTCTGGACAGACTGTTTTTCATGTCCTGTGATCTACTGAAAAACCATTGACAACTTTTATACATTTTATCGAAATCGACGGCCTCAGCATTGTCGATATACAGGAATCCAGTATGTTCCAGAGCACGGACTACGGCTGCTGCGAGCTCTGTTCGATGCGTTTTGGACTTTGATATGTCGATGACGGGCAGTTCGAAACTAGACATGTTGGCGGAAACTGAAACAAGATCAAATTTTGTTGGTTTGTTCCAGTTGTACATACATGTAGTTTGCCGAGAATGTCATAATTAAGAACAGTAATAAGAACGCGACACAGAAACATCACGCCCGTACTATCCAGAAACAAGTAACAAAAGGCACAATCAGAAATCGTTGGCACTTTCCGTAGACGAGTATTTTTTTCTCCTTTCAGGAAAATGCCAACAGTTCTCGATTGCTCAGTGCTACCACTTCAGTTTATATATAGATATCTATGCATAAATAGAACACGTGTAACTAACTTTGAAATTAGTATGCTCAAAATAGGAATAATGGCTGTGTAAAAAAATGTTAATTTTAGACGAATTTCACTGTAAATTTGAAACATAGACACTTCTTCGATTATATAACTTACCTTGGGCCCAGCTTTATATACAGGAGTGTTTATCAGTGAAGTAAAACCTATTTATGACAGCTTGCTTGTATACACACCCGGATGTGTATCAGCTCAACTACGGAGGCAAAGCGGGCCCGTAATGACTACCGCGTTATATCAAATTACCAATTTCATATTCTAACCCATTTTCAATGTAACGCGGCATTTAAAATGGCCAATCAAACTAAATTGCAACTCCATAAACGCAGTATACCATCCGCAAAATCTCCATTTGTATATGAAACCCGGATGACTATTGTAAATGTTGTTAACGTCCCTGACACGTCATGAATGACGTCACGACCATTAGCACCAAACGGGTCAGGTTAATGATCGTGCTCTGCCTCACTTTGGTTACTGTAAGCTAATAAGATAATTTCTTGGTGCAAACAAAACTCGTGGATATCCCATTTGAAACAGACAATCGTCAAGTAATACTAACACAATCTGTAGTATTTGTTTTCGTGGTTTCACAGCATTCACGAAACCCACAGCTGTTTAGGGTCTTGCGCAACGAAAATTTAAATAACCTGACGTCACTTATCCATGACATATACCAGACCAAGATTCATGAAATATGACTAAAAATCAATCAATCATTTTACAATGTCTTAAGCTTTTATGGATTAAAATGGAGATAATTGTACAGTGTCTTGATTTATGCGTCGGTAAATCTTGATTATGTTATCGTCAAAATCTCAAAAACACTATAGGGCTATTCTCGAAGTGAGCAAGAGAATGAAATAAAACACAACGGTGTTTTTTTCCCAGACTGACGCAGCACTTAGGTGGACACAGCGCTAATGCAAAAATCGATATGAGTTTTTTATTTCCAGTTTGGGCAAGAAATTTCTTATCCTACTGATGGCTGCTGCATTCTCCAAATACACATTTCTTTTAAAGAGGAGATAAAATCTACCTGATGAAATTTTGATATTCCTGAATGAAAATCTACATTAAGTCGTAAAATAAATAGTTTTGTTTATTTACAGTTTAAATTCCTTTAATTTTGGCACGCATTTCATCCCAAAAAAAACACATTTGCCGAAACAGCTGATCCCGATCTAAATTCTCCCGAATGTGTCGATTGCTCATATTATGCCAGACGGTGTTCATGAGATAACATTTTTCAAAAAAATGTATCTAGCAATTCAATCTGGACTTAATTCAAGGTTTATAGCGGTGTCGTACACAGGGGAAATGTCCTGCCGATTAGCATTCGTGGGAATATGATTGACACCGGGATTACAGGAAATGATATGGAGCTCATAACTTGTCAATCCTTTCTGACGTTGAAGAAAGCACCACTTTTTGTTTGAGCGGACAAATAACGCACTTTTTGATGTGTGCGTTCTCAAAATAAACGAGTACCATCGCCAACGTCAGAAAAGACACGTTTATTGTATTGCTTTACAAACCTATAATGGTCATTTATATGCATGCCATATTTCTATAAACCATGACTGATGATTATCCCGTATTAATTAGTGCTCAATATGTTTCCCCGACATCTTAATTGCGCTTGCACGTAACAATAATGGCGGACACAATAACGTCACGTTACCGTAACATGAAATGGCTCTAAAACGACCAGAATCCCCGTGATGAGTCTAAAGTCGTCGATTTTATCAGTGGAAATTAATAAACGAGATCCGGCTTCCGTGATCATATAAATGTAACATATGGTGTTATAACAGTGTGAAATACTGTACTGCTATGCAAAGCATGACATGGAAACTGGTTTTATATCACTCCAGTAAAATTCACCTTGTCTGTACACGTACTAAATATATATGACCGTGCATTACAATACACCTATACTGAATGCCATATTTCATACATAGCTTGCATGCTATTTGACATTCAATTCCAACGTGATGTGGTTTATGCGACAACACGTCACTACATTGACGTAAAATCTAGGTCGCCTCTCATCTCACCGTATCAAATCTGGTCACAAATATATCACTCAAATGTGAAGTGTTATCTACAGTTGTTATCGTATCACGGGAATAAAGTGGGAGATAACAATACTTACGGTATACACGACGTGTTATAGATGTCCTGTCCATCGTGTTAAAATAGTAGGGACGTGGGATTGCTTCGGTTAAAAGTGCTGATCAAAAGAGTTTCTGAACCATCAACACATAAAGGGAAGGTTTTCACACACAATCTCCCCTGCAAATCTTGCACAAGTGTTCAATTTATATTTAGGGACGTGTTATGTGGATGTGCAAGAAAGGATACAGTAAACTCGGTTGATTAAAAAAAGGAGGGGGGGGGGCAGGACGAGTCCACAAATACTGGTATATAATGTTACTGCATGGCTTACGTAACATTCCTAGTACATACGACAAGGACAGTATGTTCCACAAACTTGATAAAATTAACATATACGTATTGTAGGCTTTCATTTTTAGCTCACCTGGTCCGAAGGCCGAAGGCCATACCGCAGCGTCCGTCGTCCGTCAACTTCTTTTCCTTTAAAACGCCACTAGTCATGAACGACTTAGCAGATTTTGACCAAATTTGGTCAGAAGCATCCTTGGGGGAAGGGGAACAGATTTTGTATAAATGGTGGGTCTGGCCCCCCTGGGGGCTGTGGGGCGGGGCCCAATAGGGGAAATATAGCAAATTCTTTAAAATCCTTCTTCTTCTGTAGGAATGAAAGGATTTGTTCCATATTTGGTCCTTGGGGGAAGGGGAACACATTTTGTATAAATGGTGGGTCTGGCCCCCCCCCTAGGGGCTGAGGGGCGGGGCCCAATAGGGGAAATATAGCAAATTCTTTAAAATCTTTCTTATTCTGTAGGAATGAAAGGATTTGTTCCATATTTGGTCTGAAGCATCCTTGGGTGAAGGGAAACCAATTTTGTATAAACCGTGGGTCTGGCCCCCAGGGGCCTGAGGGGCGGTGCCTAATAGGTGAAACATAGCAAATTATTCTTTAAAATCCTTCTTTTTCTGTAGGATTAAAGGATTCAGTCCATATTTGGTCTGAAGCATCCTTGGGTGAAGGGAAGTCAATTTTGTATAAACCGTTGGTCTGGCCCCCAGGGGCCTGAGGTGCGGTGCCTAATAGGGGAAACATAGCAAATTATTCTTTAAAATCCTTCTTTTTCTGTAGGATTAAAGGATTCAGTCCATATTTGGTCTGAAGCATCCTTGGGTGAAGGGAAGCCAATTTTGTATAAACCGTTGGTCTGGCCCCCAGGGGCCTGAGGTGCGGTGCCCAATAGGGGAAACATAGCAAATTATTCTTTAAAATCCTTCTTTTTCTGTAGGAATTAAAGGATTTAGTCCATATTTGGGCTGAAGCATCCTTGGGTGAAGGGAAGTCAATTTTGTATAAACCGTTGGTCTGGCCCCCAGGGGCCTGAGGGGCGGGGCCCAATAGTGGAAACATAGCAAATTATTCTTAAAAATCCTTCTTCTTTTGTAGGAATGAAAGAATTTGTTCCATATTTGGTCTGAAGCATACTTGGGTAAAGGGGGAACAATTTTGTATAAACTGTGGGTCTTGCCCTGCAGGGGCTTTAAGGGCGAGGCCCAATAAGGGAAACATAGCAAATTATTCTCTTAAATCCTGCTTCTTCTGTATGAATGGAAGGATTTGGTCCATATTTGGTGTGGCACATCATTGGGTAAAGGGGAACCAATTTTTGTATAAATTGTGGGTGTGGCCCCCCTGGGACCATCGTCTGCTGGATAACCGATACATCCGGTAGTGAAGCGGACGTAAAACCTATCAATCAATCAATCAATCAATCAATCAAACCCCTGGGACCTGAGGGGCAGGAGCCAATAGGGGAAATAGAGGTAAAACCCTTAATAATCCCCTGGGGACAGAAGGGAGGGGCCCAAAGGGGAAACATAGTAAATTCTTCAAATACCTTTTTCTTCTGTACAAATGACAGGATTTTTGTATGAAGCATCCTAGGGTGAAGGGGAACCAATTTTGTATAAACGGTGTGTGTCTAACCCCCCTGGAGGCAGAGAGGCGGGACCCAATAGGGGAAATAGAGATAAAACCTTTAAGAACCTTCTTCTACCATAGGGATTAAGGGAGTTTATCCTAATTTAGTCTGGAGCATCCTTTGGCCTAGGGGACTCAAATTTGTATAAACGGTGGGTATGACCCCCACCCCCCCCTAGGGGCATAGGAGTGGGGCTCTGTTTGAAGATTGTCCTCGCTATATCTCAAGTACTGGATGGATCTTTCTGAAATTTCATATGTACTTGCAGCACCTACCATGGAGTGCTATATCTTTACTTCATACCAATTATTTTAAACATATTCAGGTGAGCGATACAGGCCCTCTGGGCCTCTTGTTTAAAAGTAACTAATATTATCACCGACGAATTGACGAAGTCATACATGTAGATTGTTATGTTTTTCTACGAACTACACATTTTTACCAAGGATTCCTGCTGTTTATTATATGACGTAACACGAAAGATTGTAGAATTTCATATATTTGCGGCAGGTGAAAGTATATTTGAGAGAGTTATCTCCCATTGTATTGAAAACCGTTTCATGAATTCTTGGAAGTTGATAAAGCAAATTTGTTTCTAGTATGAGTAACACAGAGCACAACGCTTAATGTAACCTCAAACATATATAACGTGTCTGAAATTTTTCTTAATTATCTCATTCTTAATAATTTCTTGTTATTGTTACATTGTATAAAGTCAGCACCATACTAACCGTTATAACGCTGTGTATTATATATATATACTAGTATATATAATGGCACTGCCGCACCATAACGTATAGCACCAGGCTAAAGCGTATGTCATCGTATGCCACTTTTTTCTAACACGCTGGCATACGCTGGTGTACGCTGATATAAGTTCAGGGTACGCTATGCATAAGTTAAATGCGTTAACAGCACGGTGTCACATGCTGGTATGCGTCAATCCTTTGCATGCACAACATTTTTCGACGTATCGAAGGTATGTTTCATACATTACTCATACGTCATGCATACGCTAGATGTGCTGACATAGGTTATAGGTACGTTGGTCATAAGTCGAGATACGTTGGGGGTTCGTCAGCTG